AATCCAACACATATTTTCTGAACACTTCTGCTGTAGTTTTAGAATCTCAGTACAGAAGGAGCTTAGGACTGGGAATCTGCTCGGGAAGAGAACTGGGGAGCTCATCTTGAAGCTGAATGTTTATAGAAAATATGCTGTTTAACTTGGGTTTTATGTTTATTTAGGGTGCTGAAAGCTAATGCGGATGGTGGGGAGATGGTTAATGATCCATAGCTACTGCTGCTTACTATTTGCAGGATGCTATGTTGGGTACAGGTCTTATTAAAATAATCTTAAAAACACAATTTATCTCTTTAAGAAATTAAAATTTAGCATATGGAGTAGTAGTGGGAAAGAAAACACAAGTACATAAGTCTAAAAGCTAAGAGAATGAAAAAGAAAGAAGACATTACAACTATTTAAAAGGATTGGAATCTGTATCAGACAAAATGGCACTGGAGATAGACCTTAAAACATGGACCTTAGAGAGCTTGACCAGCTCACACCCTATGATTATTTATGGTGTTATCTACACACGCAAAAATGAAGTAAAAATTCAGGTCAAGGAAGCAGTGACTTAATCATCTCACAATGAATCAAAAGCTTCTAGGATTAATTATTTGAATGTTCACTTTCATACCTGATTTTATATTTAGTATATATAGATAGTTTCAGGTATCCACAAAGGCAATTCTGTAATTACTACAACAGAAGTAGCATCTCCAATGCCAATTTGATCCTGATCCATTTCTGATGTTTTCACACACCTTCTGTGAGTTAAGTCAAGAGGGTTTGAAAACTGTCAGATTTTAGAAAACAATTACCTGCTCAATACCATACATGAATAACACTAAACTGAGTCCAATTTTGTATCTAGGCCAAGAGGTGACTCCAGCAGGAATTCTGAAGAGCCATAATGATGTGACAGTGAATAATGAGTAGTACCTACTGTGGCAACTCTTCAGCTAAGATGAGTGTCAACGAAGTATCAGCTTTTTCATTGACTCTGGAGCAAAAAACTGGCTTTGCTTTTGTTGGGATTTTGTGTATCTTCTTGGGGCTTCTTATTATCAGATGCTTCAAAATCCTGTTAGACCCGTATAGTAGCATGCCCTCCTCTACATGGGAAGATGAAGTTGAAGAGTTTGATAAAGGGACATTTGAATATGCACTTGCGTGAGAATTCTACCTTTAGGGTTTTTAGGGTTATGCCACTGGGACACATGGAATATACAACTGTAATTTCCTTGAACATACTGGAAAAGGCTCATTTCATTCAGTAAATTCAATAAACATGTGTAGTTGGACAAGTCATCTAATCTGTATGGACTTCAGTGAGGAGGTTAATCAGAGAATTTTTAATGTCCCTTTCAATTCTAGTGCCCTATGAACTCTGTGAACGTATCTGGAAATCCAGAGATCTGAGATGAATGAAGATTTGAGATGTCATTAGAAGTTTTTCAGTTAGGAGTCTAAAGTCTTGTGATTTGAATTCTAATGTTGACTTAGTCAAGAATTAGCTTTATGACCTAGAAAGCTAGCTAAGGAGCACCTTTCCACATTTGCAAAACAAGTATAAAGAAACCTATCCTGCGTATCCTACAGGGATGTTGAGAGGACCAAGTGATGTATAATGAATGTGAAAGCAATTTGAAAACCATAAAACACTGTTGAAACATACCTTGCAATCATTATTTATTACCCTCATTGGCAATAGAAATAGAGATCCTCAAACCTCAAGAAGCAATGGCTTAGTGTAAGTTATTCCCTCTTCAATCTTCATTCTCTTCATTTGATATATGAAAGGATAGAATTATATTATTCTAAAATTCTTTCCAACTACAAAATTCTGACTCTTTATGATTACCAAATGGAGGAATATAGTAGGAGATAAATAAATACAAAAATATTTGTGTCACCAGAACACAAAACTGCCAAACATACCAAAAAAAAGAATGACTAATATTTACTAAGGGTTAGCCCTAAATTGAGTGCTTTCCACTTATTATGTGATTTGATACCCTTATGAATCCTTTGAGTTCAACATTACTATTTCCATTCTATTATCTTAATGTCACAGATGAGGAACTGAAGCTGACAGAGATTAAATAACCTCCCAAGGTTATCAAGCTAGAGAGTGGTTGTGTTAGGAATTGAACGTGGGCAGTCTAATGTCAGAGACATTGTTTGTAAACATCATGCTGTACTCTGAGACACTATCCTTAACATTTCTATATACCTTACAAATATGGTTATTGCTCAAGTCTACGGCACTCCAAAACAAGCTGTCTCATTCCTGATGCTTTCCATGTCCTAGTAGACTTAGAACACATCTGTGTTGGTTGTTAATCTTCTGGACCAAACCCACACCTCAAGGAGCTCTTTGAACCCCAGTAGGTACAGGAGTGTCAGACTGGGACACCTTATAGCCAGTTAGTAGTTTTGTCCAAGAACATCTCATTGAGCCAAGTCAGCTGGACACACTGAAAGTTACGTGTGCCCAGGACACTAGGCATCTCCTTTGTGACCCAGGCTTCTAAAGTACTTGTTAAGATATGCATCCAAGTATTTGTCCCCCAGGGAAGACACCCAACAAGATCCTCCATTTTGGTGACTGGAACATAACAAGGACAGATTTTTACTTCAAAAAGAAGATCCTAAAACCCAAAACACAAGAAAACTTTATGAAGTATGATCATTGTTTCTGAAAGTTCAACACTCACCAGCTTTTCAGATATCATCAATTCCACAATAGTATTATTTTCAGTCCCACTAAATGGAAATTCTTTTAACCAAAAGTGTCCTCATCCATGGCATTTATTCATGATCTATTGTTCACCTTCGACTTTTTGGGGGCAGTGGGGGAAAGAACGGTCAGTGTCTATATTTTCAGAGCCAGAAACAATATAAAAAATATGAAGAATGGTTACAGTATGGATACATCATGGAAACTTCATGAAATGCTAATTCTTCTAGGAATGTCCAATGTCATAGTCAGATCATCCTCTAGCTGCCCCTTCCTCAGAGCCCCATCAGGAAAGACAAGGGTTAAAATAGAGGAGCATACCTCCAGTTTCCTCCTGTTACCTTACCCACATGTCTGAAAAGTCTAAATTGGGTTTACCTTTTAAGGTTGGCTTTGTGGATGGTGTAATTTCATCCATATCCCCCAAACCATGTCCCATCTGCTCCAGAACATCTGAATCCCCCTAATGGAGAGCGAAGACTTTCACTTCACAGTTAGAGATAAAAGGCTTAGAATGAAAATGTCTGCTTGATTTAAGACCAAGACTAAAACTAACTCACATGACACTGTAGTCAGGCAGGCAAGCAGCAAGGAAAAAGGAAATTGGCCACTATAGGACGCACTCACAGTCTTTGGCAGAGGAAAAAGCTTAAGGAATAAATAGGTGGGCTCCTGAAAGAGGGAGGGGTTTGAGGGAATGGTTGAAGTAAAGGGGAACTGGGGTGGCAGAAGTAACTGACACCGAGTTCACAGCTTCCATCCAGGGCCAGTGAATAAGGCTTGTTTTGAGTCCCAGCCCTATCTTAGCTGTTCTAAATAATAGCAACAGCAAGATGAATCTGAAATGAATTTGAATCTGAAAGGCATAATTCCTATGCCTTGTATGTGGGGAATCAGAACCCTTTGTTGAACAGATAAATGCCTTGTACTTAAGAGCAGAGTGAGTTAGTGGTACATAGTTGTAATTCTGTCTCTATTTCTGAAACAGCCTCATGACATTAGCCTGATTGATTAGCATGACATTTGCCTAAGAGCGTCTAAAGGGTTTTACTTAGGTATCTGCAGACCCTTTCTATAATCCAGCATCTGTTCACCCACCTACCTTTCCTCCTACTTTAATAGGCATAGTACCTCTCCCAATCTCTAATGATTCACCCTGGAATCTTAGATGTGACTAAGTAAAACTCATCAGTCAATTCTAAATATTTCCAAAATAGTAAAAGTGCTTAAGTACAAACCAGGACTGATCTAAATCCAACACACAAATTAACTCATTTAATCCCCTCGATAACTTTACAACAAGGTAGGTAATATTATTATCCACAATTGCATTTTACAGATGTGAAAGTCAAGGCACAGAGAGATTGACGAATTTGCCAGAGCTCACACAGGAAGTGGCACAGCTGGGATGTGAGTTGAGCATACACATTTCAGAGTCTTGTTCCTAGCCCCTGTGTCAAGCTACAACCGTGCTGCTCAGGCAGCTGGAAATCACTTGGATAGCTTCTTATAAAAGACCACGAGGATTCATTCAATCACCCGATTGCAAACCAATGACAGAACGTGCACAGAGGAGTTGTTTGTGCCGTCTTAATAATCACCACCTCACAGATTTGAGCAAAACCTTTCCCTCAACAAAACTAAAAAACCCGGTTTGATATAGATGTTTTACCAGGTAGAGACCAAAAGGCCACTGGGAAACTTACCCACAGTTTCATTCTTGCTTGAAACAGTTTTCCCACTAGGTAGAAATATTTTCAATAAATCACTGATTCTACATTCAATCTGCTCACTTCCCATGCAGAGAAGAATTAAGCTAATTAAGCTACTGTAAGCAAGATAAAATGATCTCAAATACCATCTTCTGGTTAAAAAGTATAGAAATTATCTCTGGAAGCCTAGATTTTGCTGTACATGCTAAACAATAGGAGGTCACCAGGAATCATGTGAAGACACCCGGATTCAATTTATTTAGCACCAAACAACTGAAGCACTGCTTATATTTTGCTGGATGATTACTGTTGAGCAATCCACCTCCCCTTATGAATTAAAGAAACTTTATGTGATTTCCTGTCTAAATGGATTAATGGTTTACTACTGGTTACTAGCTGAGGTGGTACTTAAGTTTCCTCAGGGCTAATGACTGGGCAGCACCCACAGTTTTATTTCACACCAGTCACTGCTCAATCATCTCTTTCGAGGAAGAATCTAACCAATAAGAAGAAGCCTACAATTCTGGGCTGAAAGCTAATTGCCCCATATATGCCTGACTGATGTTGAAACAGGTAACACTTCCTGAGAAGAAGACTCCTTCTTCTGGTGGTAAGTTAAACATTTCTGGGTGGGGTAAAAATCACACTTGATATTATGTCATAAAGTGGATTGAGGAGTGGTGTAAAGGCAAAGGATGTCAAGGACTATGATGAGAAGTGGTATATTCTATAAAAACTAAAGAGATGACAGTTTCACTTATAATTTCCCCCATAAAAGGTTATTTGCAAGTTGAAGTTAAGATTCTTTTTTTTTTTTAGTTCAAAGAAATAGCCTAAGGACTTCAGGAGAGAGGCACATTTTTGTATTTGTCTGTTTTTCTAAAAAGCCAAAATTTAAGGTATCAATAAAGAAATATTATTCTAATTAAAGAAGGTTCTAAGATGGGCTCATGGATTGTAAAGTGATTATGTAGTCTATTTATCTCATGGTCAAATACAAGCTTCTCAATGAATTTGAGACTATTTCATTAAAGGGAATCAATAGGGCATGATTATTTTACCTAAATATAGCATACAACTTTATTAAGGACTGAGATTTATTTCCTTACCCTGAATATTCATATATTTTTGAAGAGTCCATGATAGCATTTGTAAAACATACAAGTGTATGAGCAAATAAAAGGCTAGTAAAAGATCCAAGAATTTACAGAGCTATCTTCCTCACAGGATATATTATTATAAACTAATAGCATGTATTTCTTAGAAGTTTTAAAAATATTTTTAAAATTTTATAATCATCATATAATAAAATCATCACATAATATGTGTTCATATCAATAATAAAATACTTTGCAGTTTCAACATTTAGTAACGTCAATGAACTGTGTTTCAGACTGAGAACTGAGAATATTCTCATCAGTTCTTACTATACTCAGTTGGTAGAGTTATATCTTTTCTAAAATCATATTAAATCCAACTGCACTGAGTCTCAGCAAATACTACAAACACAGATAACAGTTTAATGACTGCACTGAAAATTCTGTTTGCTGAGGCAGTTCCCCAGTTATTTATTATGGGATTTAATTGTGACTAAAGTTCCTGGACAGGTAGTTTTTAATGAAACCAGTTTAAAATTGTATGTCTTGTGATATAAAACTGTTCCCTCATAGCCCCATCCCTACTTAAGTGTATTTATATTTCTTGAAACAAGTTTACTTTTCTTTTTCAATGGCAGCTTTGAAGAACATTCTGAAGATTGTATAGCAGACAATGCATCAAGAATCTATTTATTGAGTCCTTCTAAAACAGAAGCGAGGAGCTCCCTAACGTAAACACATAGGGTTTATTTTGAGAAGGAAAGACATATATTTTTTTAAAAAAGCAACCATAAAGTAGACAGCTTAGTCCAAAAACAAAGTCCACTTTGGAAGATGTCTATGAACAACTCTTCCAATGTATTTCTGGATTCAGTGCCCACTAATAGCAATCGCTTTCAAGTTAATGTCATAAACGAGAGCCATGAAAGCAGCGCAGCTGTGGGTAACAATGCCGACCCTCCACATTATGAGGAAACCTCTTTTGGGGATGAAACCCAGAACAGATTCAGAATCAGCTTTAGGCCTGGGAATCAGGAGTGTTATGACAATTTCCTCCAAAATGGAGAAAACGCTAAAACAGATGCCAGTTTTCATGCTTATGATTCTCACACAAACACATACTACCTACAAACCTTTGGCCACAACACCGTGGATGCCGTTCCCAAGATTGAGTACTATCGCAACACGGGTAGCATCAGCGGGCCTAAGGTCAACCGACCCAGCCTGCTTGAGATTCATGAGCAACTTGCAAAGGTAAGTTTCAGGGCACGGGCAAGTATCTTTCCTTACTCCTTCAGGCGATCTCCTACTCTGTAATAATGCTCTGAATGTCACAGTGTCTGGTGGAGAGGTCTATTCCGAACCACCCTTCTTCCTGACACAACTGTCCCTCATTCCCGATAACCAGAAAATACACAGAAGTGTCCCACGCATGTTCACTGATTGAGCACAGAGAACGAAAGAATTAGTTCTGAAAGTTAGGCAATGTGTTGTGTCTTGTTTACAGTTATCATCTACTCATTGCACACTTGGTTAAACATATTAAGCTAAATCCGAAGCTGGATTCACCTTAGTTTTAATGCCTTCACAACAGTTGTAAAAAAAGAAAAAAATCACGGGCGCTTGCTGTAGTTAATACTGTGGTTCCAGCCTTTAGAGCACATGGGTATTTTATATTCTTTAAAGAGAGAGCAAAGATTTATAAGATTCAGCATTTTATCCCTTCTTCTTCAAAACTTTGCCTGAGGCTCCTGAATGCACTTAAGCATGTAAAAGTAACTAAATTAAATTTAAGTACAGAAGCAACAGACGTGGCTAAACTTTTCATTATTTCAGGAATATAGCCTGGGTTCCCAAATCTGCTAGAAGCATGAGGAAGCACTTTTTCTAATCTTGTAGCAAATCGGTTATAAACTCAATAGATTTCTTCTTCTATACCTTGCTCTAAAATAGGTTGAAGCACTTTATCTTCCTGCTCTTCTGGAACACAGTTTGGAATGAATATCATTCTTTATGGGTATAACTACTTGCTAAAAAGAATAATTAGCTGTCACATACCCAAATGTAGTTTACTTTTGCTCAGGTTTTGATGTAAAAGAAAAAAATTGACTGAAACAATTCCTTTTATATTCATTCATTCAACAATTTTTTTTTTTAATCAAATGATTACCCACTCCAGGGAGTCTAGGAATATTGCTCTCAAGAAAGATGCTAGTAAAGGTGAAAATTCCCCTTTAGTTTCTGTTCATTCTTCTTTCCACAAGGATACCCATCTCTAAAACTTACTCCCCTGATTCCCCAGGGTCTCTGACTCTGCACCCTACCACCAGAGACAGAGACTTCCTGAGGGGAGCCATGCTATGAACTCTAACCTTATCTCTTCTCCCCACCAAGCCTTACTTGTCCCATGTACCATATTGGCAACACTGGGCTGAATGGCTGGTTTCTTTACAGGTATAAGATTTAGACTTTATCTGGGATATTTGGTGTTTTCATCAAAAGAAGTTAGCAATGTGAGAAAAAAATGGCAGCCCCCATTAAGAATTTTGAGAAGAGGGTTGATTTGAAGCTCCTGAAATCAGACTGCAGTGTCACTTTGCATTGTGTAGAAAAGAGGAAAGAAGAGAAAAAGGGGAGAAGGAAAAGAGGGAGAAGTGGGTTGCAGGAAGAGAGCACAAGGAGTTTTCAAGATATGGGAAAGGCAGAAAAAGAAATGTAGGGCATTATAAAGAGGTTTCAATTTATTCTGAAGAAGGAAAATGAGCTGAAGTTCTTTTTAAAAAGACCTGAAATTCTCTCCCACCATAATCAACCTCATTACACATGATAATTTTTAAAGCTGCATCCCTGATAAAATTGCCATCAAAATTTAAATATTCTTACTCACGTTCTTCCCCCAATTTACAACAAAACAAAATAAAACTTTAATTCCATTAAAAAGGAAATGGAGCAAACTCACATTGTTCTTTGGACTAATGTTGAGAGAAACGTAGCTTATTTACAATTCCCAAAGCCACAGTTTATGTCAGTCTTTACATTAGGGGAGGAAAAACTCTCAGGGACCAATGGTCGGGTTGGTTGTTCAAAAGCCAGCTGAATGACCGTGGTAGAAATGCCATAGCTGCAAAATGCCATAGCTGCAATTGACAGATTGCACAGCTGTTTGCAATATCATATTCCTTTTGAAAAGATAAAATGAGACAAAGGACTGCACTTTGACTTCAAGCACTTTTTTCTCAGCTACAAAGGAAGAGCAAATTAAATAGTTTAAAAATTAGGTTTAGGCCCGGGGTGCTTGGGTGGCAAAGTTCATTGAGCTTCCGACCCAGTTTAGGCTCAGGTCCTGATCTCAGGATCGTAAGACTGAGCCCTGCGTTGGGCTCTGCACTCAGCACAGAATCTGCTTGAGATTCTCTCTCCCTCTCCCTCTGCCCCTCCTGCTCATGCTCTCTCTCTAAAATAAATAAATAAATCTTAAAGAAAAAAATTAGATTTAGGCCCAGTGCCCTGAATAATCATTCTGAATGAAGGAGTATAGTAATAAGTCACTCTTTTTAGGAATTCGACCCTTAATTACCAAGATACCTCATCTTGATTAAATGGTACTGAGATATCCACATAGCTAAATTGGGAGCAGAATTCAAATACAACCATGGAATCCACATTCTAGTGTTTCTAAACCTGTAGGGCCCAGTTCACCTCTCCACATGTTCTACTTCTGTGCTATCGTTCGATATCAGACATGAACAATCCAGGCCTTCTTCAATTCATCTCTTTCTTCCTTGTTAGTGAATTTGATTCCATTTTCCTCTGCTTAAAAGCATAAAAGATGAAGACCTATAGTGGAATGTAGCTATGCTGCTCCCTCCTTCTGGCCCTTGACATTTTTATGGTGGTCCCTCAAACTACAACTAGGAACAATCACTAGAGCAAACATTGTATAATAATACTCAGACACATCATAGATTTTGTATGTAAAAAATTATAAATGATAATGTTTACTTAAACAATTTAAAAGTGGGAAGCAATTGACATAGTATGAGTGATATTTTTTTGTATCCATGATTCTAATGCTTTAAAAAGCTGTATAGGAATGGTACATTCATACTACATGACAGAACATATTTAGACAGAACTTATTTGTATTTTGTGCAAATCCCTGTTATAACTTCCAAGTCAGAAAAAAAATTACATGAAAAGGTTTTTCCTAATAGTTGAAATGAAAAATAGGTTTGAAAGACATTATTTCAAGTCTCTACCTTAACTGAAACTCTAGGAGAGATACTTATTGACAAAATTTGTAATCCCAATGATTTGAGATCATCGTTGAAGAAATCTTTTCATTTTCTATGTAGTAAAGAGCTAAATGCCTATACGGGTGGCTATGAATTATGGATTTCCAAAACTCTAGTCAAAAGCAGGAGAATAATGACTCCATCCTTTACTTTCTCTGCAATATTATACAAGCTACTTAACTTCAACTGCAATTGTAGGATGTTTGTAAATACTAGAGTTTATATGCATGTAAAGTCTAGTATGTTGCCTACAATGGTTAGAAACCCAGTAAATGGTTGTTGATAATGATGATGGTAATTTTTATATTAGCTGATTTTTATTTAAAAAGCAAAATATACACTGATAAAATATTTAACAACTACTAAAAAAATGTATAATGAAATGTCTCTTATCTAATATAGATCTTCAGTTATTCTCTGCAGGACAGTCATTACTGTCAATTTCTTATAAATCCTCCCAGAAATTTTCTATTCCTATACAAACATACAAATATATCTGTAAGTATCTATATTCCTATCTATCTAATTTTCTGCCTGTCATTTTTTACAAATACATATTGAAACATACTTTACACATTATCCTGCACTCCACCGTTTTCATTAAATAATATACATGGGAGTTCTTTCCATATCAAAACATGTGTAATGATTGTTGGACATCTGACACAGATTAATCTGGTATTTTTACTTTGTAAAAATAAGTCTACTTGTAGTGTCCAGTATAATCCTGTGGCCACCTTTTTATACACAGTTCCTAACTACAGGGCTAACCAAAATGAAACTCCTGGGGCGCCTGGGTGGCTCAGTTGGTTAAGCGACTGCCTTCGGCTCAGGTCATGATCCTGGAGTCCCTGGATCGAGTCCCGCATCGGGCTCCCTGCTCGGCAGGGAGTCTGCTTCTCCCTCTGACCCTCTTCCCTCTCGTGCTCTCTATTTCTCATTCTCACTCTCTCAAAATAAATAATAAATAAATCTTTAAAAAAAAAATGAAACTCCTTTTCAGCCTTACTAACCACATTGTTGTTAGCATTTCAGAAAAATATAATTATATAGAAATCAGGAAAATATACAGCCTTTCTATCAAAGTCAGCATTCTCGTGTCATTGAAATAAAGTGTCTATGAAGAGTATAAAATTCTATGAAAATTAAGATAGAAATATTAGTTTTAAGGAAACCAACCATTTACAAACTCTTCCAAAACAAAGACAATGGAATGACTTCACTTTGGGGCCAATAGGCTGTTATTGACAAAAAGTAATTTGTGAGTAAAAAGCATTAGGAAAAGTAATTTGTGAATAAAAACCAATACACACACTCTGGTGTAAAAACAAACTTTTTATTGAGAGTTTTTTATGTATCAGATGGTGTGCTCACACTTGGCAAATTCTTGTTCAAAACTTAGAACAACCCTTCAGGGTAGGTACTCTTATTATTGCTATTTTATAGATAGCAAAGTTGTCATAAAATCCTACGGATCCTTTAGAAGAGAAAACAAAAACTTAAAAGTCAATACACTTCCAAGGTCAAGAAGCCAAGGTCATGTGTCTAATAAGTTGAATCCATGTCTGCATGACTCCAGAGTCCATGTTCTTTATCAGTACTTTCCATCCCCATAACATACTTATTTCTTTCTTCTTTGATGACAGCTAGAAAGGTATTTGTCATTTTTCTGGGGTCTGAAAAATCACACATTTTATATTAAGTAAAATATGTGATTGAAGCTTCACTAATTTATCAATATTGGAGGGGAGAAATTCCACTGTTTTCACTAAATAATATACATTTCTCCCAATGGCCTTTCTTTCTTTCTTTCTTTCTTTCTTTCTTTCTTTCTTTCTTTCTTTCTTTCTTTCTTTCTTTCTTTCTAATGCACTTTATTTTACCTTCTCTGAATAGTTAATGCACAAGTGAAACTTTTGGTAAATAGATAATCATTCTCTAAAGCTATGCAATTTAAAATGCATTTACGAAAGGTGGTGGGTCATCATTTATGGTAATGGAGTGTGAACAAACAAATTAATTCAAAGTATGAGGGAACAAACAAATTAATTCAAAGTATGAGGGAAAAAACTAGTTTCAGGCAGCAATCATAAAACTTTTAGTCTTTGAGACTTTGGTCTCAAGAACATGTCCTAGCCAGAAGCCTGCCAGCCACTGGTTATAGCTCACAGCCATCAGGTTCCCACAAACCCTCGACCCAGTCTTTTCAGTACTTTGATGATAAGCTGACTTTATAATTGCTGTATGGGCTTACAAAGGAGGCATTTATTAAAGAGTGAAACCAAGTTTCACTTTGCCGTGTTAGAAGAGAAGATGACAAACACAGAAAAATGATTTTGCCTTAGAGTCAATTACTTCAAAGTAAGATTTTCAGAAAACCCACTGGATTTATCCTCCTTGGCAGTATCCAGGAAAGGTTAAGTAACTTGCTGGAGGACACACCCTGAATTAATTGCATAGCTGAAACCAGATTCTAAGTCTCCTAGTTTATATGGTGCAGTGATTTTTCAGCTCCTGTAAGAGAGTAAGCAATGGAAATGGATCCTATACTTATACATTAACTACAGTCCTTTATAGTCAAGTGAAGAAATACACTTAAAGGTTTTTTTCCCTTCTATGGCATAAATACATTAAAAACTTTGAAACTCTAGCAGGTTGAACATATTCACCTAAGAGAGAGTTGAACATCCTACATTGACTCTATTTTTGAATAGTTTTAAAAAATTATTGCCTTACTAACTTCCATTTATGATGAGTTCCCTGACATGCCCTCATAGAATATTCCTTTTGTTTCATATTGTGATGTCCTAGTGATAAATTGAAGAACTGTTAAACTGTGCCCAGAAGGACATCTACCAGATAGAAATGTCCATTTAAGGGGAAATTTTAAATATCTTATTCATCCTTTAGCCTATTTTGTAAGACGTTTTTTTACAATCATTGGTATTCTCATTAATCCAGATGTAAGGTTCATAGTTACCTCCGGTGTTCAGCCAGGAGCAAAGCAATTTCCTGGACCAAACCCTCAAGTTCAGGTTTAATCAGAAAACATAGGTTTTATTCCCAAGATTGCCTTTAAAAAGCAAGCGACTAGGGCTCTGTCTCATGGGACTCCCAATTAACTGAGGAAAAGGAAATTGCCTTCTCCCTAAATGAGTAGCTGCTGATAGTCTGGCCATGAGATCTTGATTAACTAGAATATTGACAATTTTAAAAGTTTTTCTCAAATCAACTCAAATAAATGAATTTCTTAACCAAATAATCTCTTCAACATTCATGGGCATTTTAACACATTCCTCAATTCTGTGCTTGATTTTCTAGTTCATTTTCTAGAAAATGAAAAGTTACATCTGAATCACTCAGCTGCCTTATGAGGATAGAATCCATTCAGAGAAAAAATAGAATTTTTAATTGCCTGGAGAAAAACCTCAAATGTTTCATCCATCTGTAATAGAATGCAGTGTATATAGACAGGTGTGCTCCAATATAATAGCCTCAGCCACACATGCTGCTCTTTTTTTTTTTTTTTTGAGCCCTTGAAATGTGACTAGTACAAATTGAGATGTGCTATCAGTGTAAACTACACACCAGATTTCAAAGACATAGTGTGAAAAAACGAATGTAAAGTGTCTCATTAATATTTTTTATTGACTTCATGTTGAAATAATATTTTACAGAAGTTTATTAAGTAAAATATATTATTAAATATATTATTAAAACAGTCCATGATCGGATTCCTCCTGCAAGGTGGGTTGCCACTATAGCTAATGAATTATTGCAAACATTAAGAATATGATATTGTGGGGCACCCGGGTGGCTCAGTCGTTAAGAGTCTGCCCTCAGCTCAGGTCATGATCTCAGGGTCCTGGGGTCAAGCCCTGCATCGGATTCCCTGCTCTGTGGGGAGCCTGCTTCTCCCTCTCCCACTCCCCCTGCTTGTGTTCCCTCTCTTGCTGTGTCTCTCTCTGTCAAATAAATAAATAAAAGCTTTTAAAAATAAATAAATAAAAATAAAAAAAAGAATATGATATTGTACAAAAGTTAAGTACATTTTTAAAACTTAAGGGTCCAAATTTGAACCCAAATTATTTTATTAATTTCCTTTTACTTTTTTAAATTGAGTTACTAGAAATTTTTGAATTACATACATGACTTGCATCTCGAGCTGGTGTAGATAACCAGTTTCTGCCCTGCTCGTTCAGCCTCAATTTCTGTGGACTTTGATTACCTGTATGTTACACTGATGTGAACATATGATGTCCGCTTTCAATTATCTGTGCAAATAGGGACTGAGGATACTTAGAATTAAGATATTCCTCATGTAATTCAGGACTAAATTTTAACTATTAATTTCACTCAATTTTACCCCCAGTGCTTTAGGAAAAGAGTAAGATGATCGGACTTGAGATTCATTCTCTTCCCCCTTCCTTTTTAAGCATGGGTTGCACAGAGGAAACAATGAGAAATGAAATACGCAGTAGGGATGGAAGAGAAAAGAAATAAGAGGCGAGAATGGATAAGAAATGAGGTCATCTGTTCTTAAGTGGTAGAGATCGGGTGGCCTTCAAATCCACTTTATGGATTCAGTACTGTTTTTTGATGACCTGCTGTATGGTAGGCTCTTGTTTGGCATTGAGGAGAAGCAGTCCACAACCTCCAGTTAATATGCAATGACTTACCACACTGAATTGCACTGGTTACCCAAGTGTCGTACTAGTCTGAAAAAAAATCTTGTGGGAAAACAAAGTTGGAAGAAAGCCTTATTTACATAGAGAAGTAGAACATGGAGACAAGAAGTCAGTCACTTGGAGCAAACAGCCTAAATTAGAGTTAGCTTACAGTAGGTATGCTAATGATACATCAAAGCCCAAAGAAGCAATAAACCTTGAGCATAGCAAGGACAAGAACTTTGATCACCTTCAAATAAAGTCCTTACAATAAATACGGAATATTTATTTCACACCAGTCCCATTTTAAAAGGGGGGGGAATTGTCCTTGTCTGAGACTTCCTAGCTAGTAATGTGGGAACACATCATCCCAGCCTTAAACTAATTTAGACCACTTAAATAGAATAAAATTGTTCTTTAATAATGGTAATTAAGTGCTGAATCTAAAAGGTGTCCCCGGTGGTTTCCACTCCTTACTGGAAAAGATTGTTTTGGGGGAACTCAGTGGGTAACTCCGTCTAAACATTGGAGTCAGGGAGGTGCCAGATAGGCTAAATTAAGTGGGTGCATCTGAAATTATTCAAAGTCATATCTATAAGAGAAATTAGATTTGCTCTTAACTTGAGAGAAACAGAGCTATTTCCTTCCCCCGTTAAATTCAGATTAGCCTACAGACAAGGAACGTCTTCAAAATCAGGTCACAAAAAAAACCACTAAATAAGTTTTTGACATTTTTTGTACAACTTACTTTTTATGTCTACTCAGCCTACCTTTTTAGTAGTCAGCCAGTCATGAGACTTCTTATCCTTTGTACAATACTACCAGCACATCCAGCAATTTTTCAGGCAAAGACATATCGAATCTGAAAGAAACTTCCTCTACAGGAATAGCATTCTTGTCGCCAGATGCTATCTTTAAATCTTTTTAGAACTGTAACCCTTTTCTTCTTGTTTTTAAAGAAAACGCTTCTATGTGTCTTTCATTCAATCTTCTTAAAGATGATGATTAGAGAAATTTTATTATTATTTTAGATGAATAAAGTGAAGCCCAGGGAGGTTAATGGAAAGAAGTCCAGATAGTCTGCATCAATGAGATTAACCTCTTACCATGCCTCAAAGACCCTCATTCACTTTGATAGGCTTTCCACCACCCTGCCTTTAGTTTCTTTTTCTCTCCTTTGTTCTCTTTGTATTCTAAAGGTACCCAAATCTAACTGGTTTGGGTTTTTTTTAGGTAATATTTTCACCAGTAGAAGAACTGCCCAAGCTCCTTTACCACCCTTGCAGTCCTGCTGTGCCTGAAATCACTCACAAAACGAACCCATCAGCAACCAGGGCAAAAAGATAATTATCTTATTCAAATGCTAGAATATTCCTTTTTTGCATGTGTTTTAAAATTTTATGTCTATTGTTTTGATTCGGCTTTGAATGTTTTATGGGTCCCTGCATTGACCAAATACTGTTTTTGCTACCTGTAAAAATGCAGAACATAGCGGTGGCACCGGGTTCGGCCGACAGGGTTGCTAACGGTGATGGGATGCCTGAAGATGAAGAAGCCGAAAACAAGCAAGAGGAGGATAAAGCCGGAGCTGTGAAGTTTGGATGGGTGAAAGGTGTGCTGGTGAGAAAGCTCCTACGTTTCCAAATGAAATCTATTTGTTCAGTGTCCTCGGGGATTAAGTGTTGGAAAAGCCTGGACACCAGAATTACAGACAGGGCTGGGTTTTGCCCCACTCGCATGTCTCACATCTTTTTCGATGCTCCTTCAACCCACAGGTAAGATGCATGCTGAACATCTGGGGTGTCATGCTCTTCATTCGCCTCTCCTGGATTGTTGGAGAAGCTGGAATTGGTAAGCAGGTTTCCCCATGCCCCTTACAGAGTTTTCAATGTCAGTGATAAACTCCATAAGCAACTTGTTTTGACCATTAATGCTGAATGTGACACGGAGGTCACAGAAATAATCTGCACTCCAGCTCTTTCACTTTGCCTCTTTGACAATGTTTGTCAGAGAGGAAAGGTGAAGCCTTAACTTCAGGGAGGCTGGAATTTTCCAGCTCGCTAACCAGATAAATGCTCAAGTAAATATTTCTACCTTTTCGTTGAGTTTTAGGTGTATAGATATATAGAGACACATATATTTGAAATAGTACTATTCCTATTGGGAGACATACTGACATTTGTGCATTCCCCCCTTAGGATTATGGGCAAAATTTCACTCAACAAAGACAGTTTGTGGGATAAGTGGTAACAATGTGACCGAACTAATGCTGAATTGGTTGAACATTTTCCAAAGAAAATAATTGTGTTACTTTCAGGTACCAGTAGTAAGAAAACAAAGGTTAATAAAATATTGCCAGATAGAGGCTTAAAAATAATAGATAAAATGACTAAGATAACATATATAACCATTACTAATTTTTCTAATGGAAAATGCATGATGTTGAAATTATTTTGAGTGATTAATTGATGTTTTTAAAGATGATATTTTATTTAAAATATCATTTCCTGTGGCAAACCTTTTTTTTTTTTAATTGAGAGTATACTGGTAAAGTTTATATGAAAAATTTATTTGAATTTTATCAAAGTTCCTGATTTAATGCAATAAAAATTAATGATGTTCTACTCTATATATGGGAAATACATTATAGATCCACTTTTGGAGAAGACCTATAAATCATTAGTATCAAGAACATAGAGGCTTGGGTGCCTGGGTGGCTCAGTTGGTTGAGCGACTGCCTTCGGCTCAGGTCATGATCCTGGAGTTCCAGGATCGAGTCCCGCATCGGGCTCCCTGCTCAGCAGGGAGTCTGCTTCTCCCTCTAACCCTCTCTCCTCTCATGTGCGCTCTCTCTCTCTCATTCTCTCTCTCAAATAAATAAATAAAAAAAAAAAAACTTAAAAAAAAAAAAGAACATAGAGGCTCAGATGTGCTTTTAGATAACTGCTCCAGAATGTATCTCAATTCACATTCAAAGGTACTTGGTCATTATTTATTGCCTTTGCCACTCAAAACATACTGAGCATCACCAGAAGACTAACTCGCAACAAGAAAGGGCCGCACTGTAAATTGAAACACTGGAACCAGTTCCCATCATTTTTCCATGTTTCATGTTTGGCAACTGCTGGGTTCCTGACAAAGGGCAGCTTGCCAACTTTATGATGCATATCAAATGAATGCTTATAGCCGCAGGGTCCAAAATAAGTATATGCTGTTCCATGGAAAATCTGCATCTTAATATTGCCAAGTGTTTGCTCCAGGGTTTCATGCAAAATTAGTTTTTTAAGGGCAGTTTAGTAACTTATTGAGATCATCAAGCAACATTACTCTGTTTGGAGGTATGAGTGTAGCCAAGGGCAAGAGTAATTCTTTTCTAATGCAACTTATTTAACATCCATGTGTTTGGGCAATAACCTGAACTTTAATCAGATCTTACATTATTCTTCTCAGTTTCACGCTTATTGCAAAATTGTAAAATATGAAGAACCCTATCTTCAGTATTGTACTTTCAGTCATCAGTATTGTTTTAATAAGGGCTTTTTATTTAAGTAGTCTTATCCTCCTTTAAATGGGTGTTTAGCAGGTTTTCCTTTGAATGAAGGTTTGTTTGTCGTGGTTGTTTTAGTTCTCAGAAAGTAGACTTTAGTGAGTCGTAGAAACTTATTACCACCCTTACTCAGTTTTACTGGCCTTTGCTGTGAACTTAAAGTTAAATGAGCTGATTAAGTCACCTTCTGGGTCCCATTTGGAGTCCCTTTATTGGGTAAGAAAAGAAGTAAATCCGAGTAGTTTCTCCTTGTTTGTGGGGATAGTTTGGGGAAGAAACCTGGATATACTTTCAAGAGGAGACCCTGGGAACAAAGCCAGAAGGAAGCTGGAGCCACAAGTCACAATAGCTACAGCGCTTGGGTAACTGTTCTAATGCTGTGAGTTTGGGCTCTCTTTTCCCCAAAAGCAAGTGGTAGAGTAAGCCACAAATGCCATTGACTTGTTCTTCTCTGTCTCAGAGACTTTGGCTGGGGCAAGATAGTTTCTAATAAACATCAGGCACAGAAGAAGGGTATGGAAAATGTATGACCTGAAGCAAGTCATTTATACTCCGCGAGTTTCATGTTCTCATCTGAAAATGAAGGAGCTGGATTAATTGTTTCCCAGTCAATTCTTTGAAGATAAAGCTAAAGAACCTTGCTGTCTAGGCATACACAAATTGAGATAGGCTAGGGTAGTGCAGTAGTCTTCAGACTGTGGGGTGCCTAAGAATGACTTGGGAAGTTAGGTTACAAAACCACAGAATCCTGGGATTCACTTAAAAGATTCAAACTCAGTGGTTCTGGGCGTTTTTAATAAACGCCTCAGGTCTTTCCCGAAGTAGGTGGTTCAAGGACCTCCCTTGGAGAAAACTACAAACTGCAAGTTCTCGAAGCTGCCTCTTACCCCGGGACTTTATGTTTGATTGTGAGAGGAAAGCAAATCTCTTGCTGTTTAAATGTATAAAACTTTGTTCCAGGATTTCAAATGGTTTACAGAAATGTATAGAACGCAAAAGAATAAATAAGAATTGCTGAGAAAATAGAAGCAAAGGGAAAATAAGGGTAGGGCAATAACCAGAGTAGGTTTAGTGTCCTGAAATGCAGACCGTATAGTTCTGTGTAGTTGCTGGGGTGAGCTCAACACTTGACATCACATGGCCTCAAAACAAAATCAGAAGAAAATAATGTGCAGAAGATAAAAGGAAACTACCTGTCGGGGTGCAAAGAACTGAGGCCACATGGTGATGTAGAGGTGATGTTCACCACAAGATCCCTGCAATGGATTCGAAGAATTTAGTGCAACTATTTCCTACAACGCCAAACTTTGTCTTGAGGGACTGAAGCAATACGGTCGAAGTTTGCATCTCATGCCTACAATTAGCCTCTTCCTACTGCACTTCAGACTGTGAAATAGCCTCGAGACTTCTTTTAGAGCCAGGATAGAGGCAGGACCATCAAGAGAGGCAGCCTCCAATGCCTTGTTTCCATTTCTGTCTGTCTCTCCTTCCACTACCCCTTCTCCCAGGGCATGTGGCCAGAGACATCACAGCTTCTCTTAGACGACTACTGTTCTAATAACCCCAGGAAGCAAGACAGCCTGCCAACAACAATTACGAAGCTTCCACTTTATGTGGGGGACCATACCAAACAGACCCAGGGGAGAGCGTTCTGGCTAGAGCCAGGGGGATTTCAGTGCCTGTGACCCCAAAATTCTTTCTGTAACACTGGCAACAGATAGCCTAACAAGAGAAAAACAATTGGAAGTTTATTAACTTACACATCATGTGTACACAAGAGAAGACTCAGCAATGGGTAACTCAAAGGAGTGGGCTTACATAGCATTTTAACAAGAGAACAAGATTTTTTTTTTAGAGAAGTCACAAGACAAAGGGAAAGGACTGAGTTTCTAGGGCGGCAGATTGTGGGGGCACTAATGGAAAATAAGTAAGTTTGTTAGGTAGTTTCCTCCAGCTGAGAAGGGCCTTGAATTGGCTCTGCTGATGAACTTCTGTCCTTCCTGCTATAGAGGAAAGTGGATCCACTTTACAAACTTACGTCTTGTTTTGAGGCAAATGGGGGAAGTATCTGCTTTTTTTCTGTTGCCTTTAGCTCAAGCTAATCTTTCTGCTAAAGTGGTACATTTTGGGGTGGCAGAGTCTGCTACCCTTCAGTATCCTCTCGTCTGTGTGCTTCCTGAAGCTGACAGCAGCCTTGCCTTTCTCTGAATTCTGGTTTATCACTTTCTGCCTCCTAGAATCATTGACCTTCTGCACCATAAGATCCTTGAGGGCTGCTTTTTTCATTTCATTTTATTTGTTCCTTGCATTTCTCTTGCTACCTGACACCTGGCTAGATGTATAGTAGGCTTTCAATAAACAACAGCTATTATAACTATCGTGGACATGGACCAAAAAGCAGGGCCACTGACTGTGTACCGTGTTCTACTCACTGTGCTGGCCACTTTCCACATGGATTCTTTCTAATTCCATTGCCATGTTTGGCTCAGAAAATGAGTAACTTGCCAGAGGTCATGTAGCCAATAAATGAAAGTAATTCCACTTGATTCTTTCTACTTTATTCATCTGCCAGATGAACAATTTGTTATATTGTATGTAATTTTCCACTCCCACACAACCAAATGGACATAAAGAGATAGTTACCTGGAAGGATGAACATTTACTCTCCAGTTATATGAGCGGCTTGGAATTGTATGGACCAATTATTATGTTTGTAGGTGTCCAAAGCAGCATACAAAATGGGGTTCCCGTTAAATTTTGACCAGTCCTCGTTGTTCAGTCGTGGGCAAGTCTCACTGCACATCTTAGCTCTTCAGTTTCTAGGCAGAAAACTTCAAAGCTGAGCATTTACTCTGGTGATTTCCAGGCCAACTTGTTAATTCCAGTGTGGTCCTTTGGTGATTACCCTAGATTTGCTGGCTTTTATGTAAACGATCTAATGGATTGTTCTACTGTTTAATTGCCTTTATTTTTCCTCTCTCAACTGAGGTCTTGGTGTGATTATCATCGGCTTAGCTGTGACAGTGACTGGTATCACTGGTTTATCCACCTCTGCTATTGCCACAAATGGATATGTCAGAGGAGGTAATTAAACTTGTGACCCGCACGATCATTTGTAAGGTAAAGGCAACCTAGGCTCAGATAGTTCACCAGCTGACCTTTCTGGAGTGTTCTCAAAGGTAATCCAAGTTGGTTCCTTTTTTTCCCCTCCAGGCAAGAGAGATGCAAGAAAAATGGGGAAGGATTTAACCTTTGTCAAACCCCCAACTTTCTCATGCAGGTTCCTCTCAAGCAAGAGAGAAGGTCAAATGTCATGTTTTCTCTTTTCGCAGCCAGGGTAGTTTGTCTCCCAGGACACCAGCATAAGTCAACTTTTCCTTTCCAGGGCCGCATATTAGATTGTGTTTACTTTTGGAAACCATCCTTCATCATAATGAGCAGGCCTCGGACTTGATCTTTATGCCAGGCAAACCTGTTTCCCCCCAGCACAAAGCAACTCTGCTGGGGCCCCAGGCGTGGACGTGAAAACTTAAATCAGAGGCAGTATAGTTTGCAGCAATAGGGAATCCAAGTAAGAAAAGTAAAACATACTATCTTTTATCTCTCATTGCTAACAGGTCTTGGAGTTCTCATAATTCTTCTTTCCACCATGGTAACTTCTATTACTGGGTTGTCAACTTCTGCAATAGCAACTAACGGGTTTGTTCGTGGAGGTAACATTTCTAAGATACCTAATGCCCTCATCGCTTGCCACGGGTAGGAAAAGTTTTTATATACTTCTCTTTGACTGGAGCAAGCAAGGAGCCCACTGTTCTTGACGCCAGATGCAGAAGGAAACCTAAGGTACCGTGAGCTCAGTCCTGGTCCGCGCCACTCAGCTGTGGGATCTCCTCTAATGGACCTCTCGGGCACATTGCAGCTCATGGTTTCCAGGTGCTCAAATTCCTCTGGTGAATGTTTTCTTTTTCAGGTCGGTCTGCAAGCCCCTTGCCGGTGTCTCTGGGGAAATGATTCCTGGACGTGGCTTCAGTTTTAAAGTTTAGTACATTTCAGGTGCTTCCGAGACCTTCATGGACTGGGATCTTTTAGAACATTTCAGGTTTTTCATGGGGAGACTGACCCTTCTGTGACAAAACTCAGACTGCTGCCTCCTCGAGCGCTGGTGACTTCTTGACGTACCGGAGTCAAACACCTTTCTTGGGGGATTTTGCAGGTCTTGGAGTCATCATCATCGGTCTGAGTGTGGTGGTGACAACACTCACAGGTATTTCTATGTCCGCTATTTGCACAAATGGAGTAGTCAGAGGAGGTAAGTCAATTCATTTACTTATGACTACAAGCTTGGCTTACAGAGTAATGTCTACAGTTGGTTTAATGTTGGAAGTAAAATTTGCATATTCATAATTAGTCCCCAAAGCCTTAAAGCAAAATGAACTAACCCAAATTTAAACATCAAGGCAAAATTCTCTCAGCTAAAATTAAGAGATATCCAGAAGGTTTTCTTTGACCCATTTCCCGTGATTAAACATGTTTATAGAGAGTGACTGGGTGTTTAGAAAGAAGGCATAAATAATTACAGTAAAATATATGGTTTATTTGTGCCTTGGCCGGGCCCTGCTGGCTCTCTTCCCAGGCCCACTTAGCACCCCAGTTGACACTCCCTGCTTACTAAGCCCTCAGAGTTCACCCCAACACAACCCTCCCAAAGGCCCCCAGGCCTGAGAAGATCCTTCAAAAGAAAATAGCAACAACGAAACAGAACAAAGAGTTACTTTTAAATCATCCAGGAATAAGCAGGCCTAGGTAGAAAATGAAGAGGGCAAGGTTTATCATTGCTTCTAATTCCTGTCTTCCCCCTCCCACTTTTTTTTTTTTAAAGATTTTATTTATTTATTTGTCAGAGAGAGACGGGGAGAGAGGGAACACAAGCAGGGGGCAGTGGGAGAGGGAGCAGCAGGCTTCCCGCGGAGCAGGGAGCCCCGATGCCGGGCCATGCGAGGCTCCCTCCCAGACGACCGGAGCCCAAGGCAGACGGTTAACGACTAAGCCACGCAGGCGCCCCTCCCCCTCCCATTCTATTTGGCTTCTCCTGGGGCCGCAACTTGGGTGCCTTATCCAGGTTTCCCTCCCCAGGACCTTCTAAGAGCACCCTTCCTTCCACAAACGCACGTCCTCTCACAGCTTCCCCCGCCCCTCTCTCATTTTGACCAAGCCGAAGTAACTGGCTAGCTAATTTATTTAATGTCATGTGGACAAAGGAGATAATGGGGATTTGCTCCACCCAAATAATTGGTTCCATTTCTAAAGAGAGCTTTGACCCTTTAACCCAAAGGAGTTACTGCAGTGGAGGAAATCCCTTTTCCGTAAAAGACAGTTTTGTTTTTGTTTTGAGATATGTTTGTTCAGTGTCATTCCTCCACCAGTTCTGCCCACCTCTAAGACTAGCTCCTTAGAGGAAGTCATTACTTTCCTATGGTCAGTCAGAGCATCTAGCTACTAGGCCTCTCAACACCTAGTCTTTTTTTTACCTGCTCTCACTACCCTCTAAGAGTAACCAAGGCAACTCAGTCTTTCATGTGCAAAGAAAGAAGTTCACCGCCACATATAGAACAATCTTTTCAAGGTCCAAAGGAGAAGCGATTGTTCTAAACCCTCCCTATCTTTCTTCCCACTTGCCACCCCCATACATATATGGGTATTTGGCAACAATCACGCCTTCTTGAGCTAAAAACAGAACCAATTCCAATTTATAGAGTGGATAACACGTAGCACTATACAGATACCTTTTTTTTTTTTAATTTATTTACTTATTTGTGGAGGGGGTGCGGAGGAAGAGAGAAACTTTAGCAGACTCCGAGCTGAGAGCAGAGCCCGACGTGGGGCTCAGTCCCACGACCCTGAGACCAGGACCTGAGCCAAAACCAAGAGTCGGCGCTCAACCAACGGCACGACTCAGGGGCCCTGCATACAGATACCTTTTTATGCAGAAAATATATATCAGAAAAGTATACCAGAAAGGAAGGTAGAATAGCAATGATAAACTTCACCTACTTCATTTTCTGCCTAGGCCTTCCTGTTCCTGGAAATTTCAAATATAAAATTTTACTTTGATTACATTATTGATTTGAACTCACCAATGAATTTTTTTTAGAAAACAAAGCATTTGGGGGCGCCTGGGTGGCTCAGTCGTTAAGTGTCTGCCTTCAGCTCAGGTCATGATCCCGGGGTCCTGGGATCGAGCCCTGCATCGGGCTCCCTGCTCTGCGGGAAGCCTGCTTCTTCCTCTCCCATTGCCCCTGTTTGTGTTCGCTCTCTCGCTGTGTCTCTCTGTGTGAAAGAAAGAAAGAAAGAAAGAAAGGAAAAGAAAGAAAGAAAGAAAGAAAGAAAGAAAGAAAGAAAGAAAGAAAGAAAGAAAGGGAAAAAGAAAGCAAAGCATTTTGTTTTGGTAAAGTTTGCTGCAGTCTTATTTGTATACAATTTGTGTACAACTGGGTTTCAATAAATCAGAATTTACTAAGTCAGGATAATTCTATTGCATTATGTTATCGTTCTCAGAGTACAAAGAAAGCCTAACTTATTCATTCAAGTAACACAAGAGTCCTAATATTATTAGCAAGTTGCAATATTTTTATTAGAATAAAAATTATTCAAAATTATTTGGTCATAGAAACTAAATCCCTTAGCAGTTCCTCAGAGTAAAGCATGTTCATTTTTTGTTTTAGGTGGGGCCTACTATCTTATTTCCAGAAGCTTAGGGCCTGAGTTTGGTGGATCTATAGGCTTGATCTTTGCTTTTGCCAATGCAGTGGCTGTTGCTATGTATGTGGTGGGATTTGCTGAAACAGTGGTAGATCTTCTTAAGGTAATTAAAAGTTTTTCTTTTCTTCAGCCAAGTAAGATAATTCAGTTCAATTTGCCTTTTCAGGGCACTAAGAGGTTATCATTATAGCAAGATGAAAGGAAATAGATTTGTTCTGTAGAATGTGGAAGTTCGATATAGTTGAAGGAGCTCTAGGCTTGGCATCAGAACTGGCTTGGAATCCTGAGCTCTCATATTGATTAGCTGAGATATTCTGGGCCAGTCCCTCTATTCCTCTGAACATTATTTCTCAAATCTATCATGTGGGCTATTAATGCTGTTCTGTGTATTTCATAGAAATGTGGTACAGAACAGATGAAATAATGTACATGAAATACTGTGTAAAACATGAAACAAAAGAGAAATAATGGGTGCTATTATCAGCAGCAATATTACTACTGTGGTTATAGATTTCCAAAGGTAAAGACAGTTCAAACATTAGAACAACTCACTGCAGAAAACTCAGCATTTCCTAGCTTAGGTAGGCCATCTCGACAGTGTGTCTGTGAGCATGTTAACTAGCTGGTATGTGAACTAATTCTAGTTCTCCTTTCATGGTAGTGATAGCATTTACTGAATTCAATCAGTAATAAAGGACCTTTATTGGAAAATTAGATGAGTAAATGAATGGATTATATAGTTCATAAGGTATGTGATCTTCAAGAAATGCATTATCTGGATTATGGAGTTTGTTATTTAATTGAATAACATGCATTTTCCAATAGTCACATTGAAAACCACTCAGTTTTATTTCTCTAAGATTCCCCTTGACACGCAAAAATAATCATTCTTGTGAAACAAATAACAGCAATGTGTATTTACATGTACACATACTTATCTCGGTGCAACAACAGCTTTAAAAGCTGTGACTAGAATAAGCATCTAGACTTTCCAACTCCTAACCTTGGCTACCAGTGGCCTATTATTATAGGACAAAATAATGTGAATCTCTGATTTAGAAGCACCTCGCTTTCCATTATCCAAATGGTCACTAGAGCACAGTATTTCTTCTTACTGTTCAATTTTACAATAGGACATACAGACAAAAAAAAAAAAAAGCTCCGTCTCTAACCATTTTAGTGATTTTCGTTGTTGTTCCAGGAGAGCAATTCAATGATGGTGGATCCAACCAACGACATTCGGATAATCGGCTCCATCACAGTGGTGATTCTTTTAGGAATTTCAGTAGCTGGAATGGAATGGGAAGCAAAGGTGATTTTTCTTAAAATGATGTCATCAACCACCGCTGCTCGGTCTTGACCAAATTGCAGGAATAGAACAAACCCCACCTTCAAAAAGAATTGCTATTATTACTTGCTATGGCAAAAGTTGCAGGTTAGCACTGGGGGGAGCCCCAAGCCCTCCAAACCCGAGGTCCAGGCAGTCAGGACGCCCTGCTCGTGTGTCACATGATCGGGCCTGCGCTTTGTCCTTCTCTGTGTGGTCATCACTGTGACAGAGACACCTCGGTTGCTGCCATCTTCACCCCTAGGCCCCTTATGATTGTAGGAACAGTCCATGCTGGAAACCTGCGTCTCCCAGTCCCACCCCTGGTGTCGCATTTTCCAGCTGACTGTGGGTGCCTGAAGCCCAAAGGATGTGGGAGAAGGGAATAGAGGCCGAAACTATCGTTCTCCCCCGAGAGGCAGTACTTCAGGAGTAAGTCCTGGAACTAGACAATATCTGGATTTAACTAGTAGTAACACAGTTAGTAAATTTCTGAATGGCAGGAGCATGTCTTTTATCTGATTTATAACTCTCTAGTGACTGGTATAATTGCAACTGGTCTTAAGAGCCTGAAGATATGGTGCCTAGACTTCAAGAGGTCCCCAGAGATTGAAAAGTGGCCAAACCCGCCCACCTCCCTAAGGCAATGAGAAACATACAGCATTTATTTGTGGATTATGCATTCACATCAAACAAAAATTAATTCAGTGCTTATTAGGTGCTGGGCATTCTGCTAGGTACTGGATATTCAGTGATGACACAAACAGGCACAATACTGCCCCTAGTTGAACATACTATGGTCTGTGGGGATATGAGTAATGATCAAGTAGATAAACAAGTAAATATAGAATGGTAAATTGTGAACATGCTATAAAGGAAATAAACAGGGCACTCAGATAGAAAATAAGGGGCATCTACTTATAATGACTTTATTCCCTGAGGGAGGCAATGTAGCTGCAGGGCGGTAGAAGGTAGGTTTAAAGCTCTAGCTCTGTTGCCACAGCACCTGGATTTGGATCTGGTTTACATCTGTATGACCTTGAGAAACGTGCCTAACCTCTCTGTGCCTCGGTTTCTTTATCTTTTAAAATGATGATAACAATATTACCTACTTCAGACAGTTATTGATAGTATTATTTATCTGAAAGAATACTGATAAAGTGAAATCTGTCTGTTACTGTAAACCCTCAGTGAATGTTAGCCGTTATTATTTAGATTCAGTGGTCAAGAAAGTCCTCTCTGAGTAACAAAGTAACTAAGGCTTAAAGGATGAGAAGGAATAGTTATGCAAAGAGTCGGGAGAAGTGCATTCCCTACAGAGGGAACAGCATATGGGAATGCCAAGCCAATAGACCCTTGAAATGTCAGCAGGGGGAAAGGGGGACAAAGAAAGACAATCTGATTGGTCAACCTTGCAAACCACTTGTGCTGGGCACACACCGGTAGCCCAACATCAAGTGTACAAGGCATCACGGGAACTCTATGAATTATTGTGTTATTAATGCAACTCCTGTTGCATTTAGCACTGGGAAAGGAAAGAATCCATAGGCACTCTGCCTAGAAAAGAAATAAATTCTATCAGCGATAAAACTTTGGGCTCCATTTATATTCCTGAGGGCACTGCAGTAAGTTACTCACCTAGTACTTGGAATGTTTTTGAAATGTCACCTTCAAATGCCCAAGCACAAGCCTCCATTGAAAATGTAACTTCTACACTCAGGTCAGAAAAGGCTTGTAAGTTACCATTCTGTAAGATACACTATTACCGACTCTGGATAGTAGTTTTAATCAGAATAACCAGATAGAGTTTTTGTCCAGTGGATTTTCAGTAGACATGACTTTTGTAATTATGTAAAACATTGTTAAGTAATTCTTAAATTGGCCTCCTTTTACTTTGCCATTCCAGGCTCAGGTGATACTTCTGGTCATTCTCCTCATTGCTATTGCAAACTTCTTCATTGGAACCGTCATTCCATCCAACAATGAGAAGAAGTCCAGAGGTTTCTTTAACTACCAAGGTACGTGTGACAAATGAGTTGCTTGGCAATCAGTGGTTCTCCACTGCCCACCTCCATCACCACCCCTGTTACCCCCATGTCAGCCATTAGAATCCAAGTGTGATCCAAAGAAGAGCCTGGGGTTGGACTCAGGAGATCCAGAGTGAGTCTCAACCCTGCTGCTTGCCAGCTAGACCAGTCACCTAACATGTTTGGGGTTCAAATTTCCCTGCTGAAGTGTGGGTGATAACAACTTCCTGAGGGGATTTTTGAGAAGTAAATAAGATAGTGGATGCAAAAGTGCTTTGAAAACATTCAAGTGTGGGACAAATTGTTGTTGCCGTCAAATAGTATAAGTAGAATTGTACATACAAGGAAAGAGAACCTAGTTCAGACAATTTGCTCAACCCTCGAGAATACTAAAGCCAAACATGGTCATTTTCCTGCTAGACTTTTTTTTTTTTTTAAGATTTTACTTTTAAGTAATCTGTACACTCAACATGGGGCTCGAATTTACAATCCCGAGATCAAGAGTCATATGCTCCACCTCCTGAGCCAGCCAGGCACCCCCCTGCTAAACTTTTTTGTACCTTGCTTATCTATAGCATTACCTAGTTAAGCATCACTGTCAGGTTTTCAAGCACAAAAGATTGTAGGAATTGGCATAGGATCCTGAGGGGATGTCACAAAGCATGAAATTCTCCTCCACCTATACACACCATCCTAACTTTCCATTCTAGCTTACTCAAGAATCCACTGCTGAGATTTAAAAAGTATTTCCCTTCATCATTTATTCAGTTTTGAGTGTCTGTTTCCTTTTGGTATTAGATCACCTCTTTCTTCCTGATTCTTTTTCTTTGTAAAGTTTGTCTTGTTTGCTTTGCATGTTAACATCGTTTTCCTTTCTATTCTTTTCCCTCCTTCTAGCTCCTGCCGTATTTTTTCTGATGAGTTAAGCTTTCTTTCCTTGTTTTTGCATCATCCCAGATTCTTTTGTTCGTGTTTTTCTTCCCTCCATCTCTGTTTTTCTTCTACATCGTTCCCTTCTCATTTAAGTAATTTGTTGAGACCCTGTGGGATAGTATTATTTTATGACTAAAGTTCCTTGCTACTATTCTTTTCCTATATATGAAAATTTGGTATAGAATTTAAGATCTAATCTCTGGGAGCAAGAAGTGGGAAGGTTAGAACATAAGTAGCAAAATGTTAAGATAGTTTCACCCACAATTGCTCCACCAATTAAAAAAAAAAGCATAGAAAAGCTGTGTTTGATTATTTATGCACATAAGAAAGGAGCTGTGTATGTGTAGGGCAGTGTACATGTGTGGTATATTTGTGAATATGCCAGCATGGTCATGAGAAAAATTCTCCATTTCCCTCTTTTTCAATCTTCTAGGTTCTAAAAAATCTGGAGGCCTGGGTCTCTGTTGGCACACAAAAATTTTTTCAGAGCTATGTCCTAGAGATCTAAAACCTTGTGATATATACCTATACTGACTCTTGGCAAATATTGACATGAAGTTCATCAAGAGTATACCAACATCTTCAAATTCATTCCTTTTAGAATATAGGGACCCATTTGCATGATACATTGATAGAAGCTAAAAATAACCATATCTCCTTTTCTGTAAAGAAAGTCTACAAGATAATGTTCTCATTATTTGTGTTGCAGCATCAATATTTGCGGAAAACTTCGGGCCAAGCTTCACAAAAGGTGAAGGCTTCTTCTCTGTCTTTGCCATTTTTTTCCCAGCAGCTACTGGGATTCTTGCTGGTGCCAATATCTCAGGAGACTTGGAGGTATGTCGTTTTCCTCTGCTTTTGTAATCCTGGGAAGTTGTGGTGCTGTTGGTGAGCAACACAAGCTGTAGAGGTCAACAGTGACCATAGTTCTCTACTGATGTTAAAACCAACATTTCTGTAAGGGTCCCCAGTAGTTTAAAAGTTCTCTCCTTTAATGCCAGACCATTCTGTTTCCGATAGTCCATCCAAAAGTCTTATTCAGTGATATCGGAAAGATGGAGAATATTGGCAGTGTATAACATTTCCAACAAGATGAATATAGTTCAATGAAAAGAATATCAGAACAAGCCTTTCTCTTTTAAACATCTAAGGAACAAAAACACATAACATTCAGGAAAAAAAACACCCCACCCCCTCCCTCTCCCTCCAAAAAATCACTTTATTAGTGAATTTTTATGTCATTAAATTCAGAGAAATATTCACTCATTTAATTGGTATTTATTTAGCACTCCATTCATATTACTTTATGTTAAGTACTGTAAAGAGCACTATTAGAATATTGGTTTGAATGTTTTATAAAAAACTAGTAGCAGTGACCTAAAAAGATAGAAGTTTATTTTTCTAGTGGATAAAAATCTGAGCTCATAGGCCATGCAGTGGAATAAGAAAAGTCAGCTCCAAATGGTAGCCCAGGATCCCAGATCACCTCTCTTGATTGACCACTCCTTTAGGGTTTGTCCTCACCTGCAAGGTCCAAGATGACTCGTCACTTCCAAGATCATGTTCCAGCCCACAGGAAGAGGAGTAAGAATAGAGGGAAAGCAATTCCTGGACCTTGCATGTATTATTTCTGCTGACATTCCATTGGCCAGAATTTAGTCTCTCTGACCTTGCCTAGTTGCAAAGAAGGCTGGGAAATGTAGTCTGTAGCTGGGCAGCCATGAGCCTAGAATTTTAGGGAGTTCTTGTGTTAAAAGGAGGAAGGTGAGAATGGATATTAGGGGATAGTAAACAGTCTCTACCATATACAAAAAAGGAGAAGACACAGGTCTTACCTCAATACATCTATAATCAACTTTGGAAGACAAGAAATACTTATAAGAGCCATGAAGAGACATGTATAAATGAACATCATATGTAATGTCTAAATAAATTGTGAGATAAACACAATAAACAGATAATTGTTAAGTCTGGGATGATTTCCTCAAGGAAGTTACTTTGAAGTGTGAACTTAGAGCAAAAGCTCAATACTGACTATTGTTGAGAAAATATAAGGGTATTCCAGGCAGAGAAGACAAAAGAACAGTCAGGCATGGGGATACTGGAAATAGTAAGGGATCCCTCACAGTTTAGCTGGAGAAGCCCTGAGGAGGCTGGATGACCTTATAATACAAGGGGAAATTGTCACTGGTGAGACCCGAGCAAGAGGTGCTTGCTCTGGAATGTAAGTCCGTGAGACTGGGGACCTTGCCTTTGGTTATATTCATTGCTGCCTCCTCAGAGCTAGGTAGGTTTCAATAAATATTTATTGAGTGAATGAATAAAGGGATTTTGATTTGTCATATTAGAGACCACAGTGCCATGGTAGATTCTTGGGCTGAGATATGGCATAAAATAGATTAGGCGGGTGCTCAGAAAATTAAGTAACTTGTTCAAAATGATTTGAGTAGTTAAGTATCGCTGCTTAACAAAATTTAGCTATGGATGTGGAGCTGCCAGTTTCTCAGATTTGGAAAAGTGTTGGAGGTCACTGATTTAAAATTCTGCAAACTGTAAGCACACATTTAAATGAAAGAATATTGTATTTTCCTTAGAAACAAGTTCGTATTAGATACTTAGTTGTCAGTTCAGCTCAGCCAACACTTACAGAGCACCTGCTGATGCCAGACACTGGGGAAGCAAGGAAGAGCACAGTCCTCCCTTCAAGTTGCTCATGGTCTAAGGTGAAGACAGACTTACTCTGTCTGAGTCACGAGAAACAAGAACAGAATCATGTACAAGGGAAAGAGGAAACAGTAATTGCCTGTCCCTGAAGAAGTAAGGGAAGGCCTTCAGAGGATGGGGACACTCCATCCAGATTTCAAGGGACGAATAGGTGTTCACCAACAGAATAAAGAAGAGAGGGACGTTTGGAACAGAAGGCCTGGAATGTCAAAAGGCACAGGGAAAGATGCTGCTGATGGAAATCAGTTGACATGTGGAATCGGGTATGCAAGTAAAATTGTTTCAGCAACATTTTCATAAGCATGTTTATAAAGGACCTTCTGTGTGTCCTGACATTCTGGGAGTAAGCAAAGAACCAGAAGATATCCCTATCTAAAATGGCAAGACTTAAAGTTCCTTTCTCCCAAGATGAATGCTACCTTGATTAGGGATGCTATACTAGTAAGGAGCTTTATTTCTTTGTCAGTCGGTACTGAGAAATCTCTGAGTTTGAGTTTCTATATAAAGAAAATGTAGAGAATGTTCTGTCATGATTTTCAGGGCACATGCAGTCATAGTGTTGTAAAAAGTTGCATTCTTTCTACTTAAAAATATTTAGGTGATTTTGCAAGTAAGCTTAACTTTCAGCATATACACTAATATATGCTATTAAGTAGAACGCAAAAATCCTTTAAACTACAGAAGAGGGAGTTTGGATATTATCCCCAAACTAGCCAGAGACACTAAGGAAGTTAGATCAGGGAGTAATATGTTTACGTTTGTTTTAGAAAAAGCCTACTAGCAGCTTGTAACGATGGGTTAGAGGGTGGGGGGGTGATAGGTAGGGAGACCAGAGGCAGAAAGACCAATTAGAGGATATCACAGCAGTCTGGACAAGAGACGGCATGAGCCTGAATTAAGGCCACGGCAGGGGAAATGGATCAAAGGGATCGCTTTTTGTTAGGGTTAGGAGAGGAAACGGAAAGTGTGTTTTCTACTATGATCTGCAGTCAGAAAACACTATACATCACAATCCAGTGCACACATACAAAATTTTCCCTGAGCAGTTTTTAACTTTATTACAAATGATGTCTGCTGATATTGCCCCATCAGTTCAATTCTATTGTATTCTTTTAATGCTGGATGCAACCAACATACCGAATTGATTCCATGCTATAACTGATGAGGATAAAGAAGCTCAGATTTGGCCATTTAGGTTGCAGTGGCAAAAGGACATCAGAGTAGAGATGTCTAGTGGGTCACTAGATTTATGAGTCTGGAGCTCTGGGAAAGATCTAGGGCAGGACGGGGAACCATGGCATGGATGAGTTCATCCAGGTCTGTGCAAGAGGGAGGAGAGCAAAGGACCAAGAAAGTGCCCAGGTGACATTCAAAATGTTAGTGGTAGAAAAGGAGTCCGTGAAGAAGAAAGACAAAGAGCCATCTAGGAGGTAAGGAACTCAACAGAGAGTGGGATCATGAAGGTCAAGAGAGGAGAATGTTTGAGAAGGAATAATTAACATGATCAAAAGCCAGAGTGGTCAAACGTGTTAGGAACTGAGAGGTGACCACATGTTGGGAAGTGACAAGGAAACTTCAGTACTTAAAGATAGGATTTCTCTGAGAGTAAAACTAGAAATAATCACATTAGAGATTCATTTCAACTTAGTAAACATGTCTTATTTATACACTATAGGGATATGCAAGACGTTACCTCTGTTCACAGCCTCAGAATCCTTCTCAAGATGGCACTTCAGGCTGCCAGTGACAACAAGAGTTGGCACAAGGCGATGCTACAAAGTTCCCACCCTGAGCCTTCCACTGGTTAACGCTAATTGATAATCTGTAAATATGTGCCTAGGAGAAGATGTGGGAGGTACCCAAATCTAACCAAGATAGTTAAGATGCAGCTTCAGAGATGCAAGATTAGATGGGGTTGACACTCAAAAAGCAGCAATCTAATAGATTGCTTGTGTATTCTGTCTTAAGAAAAAAAAATGTCTAATAAAGAAAGGTGAAGGAAGGTTAGATTTCTAGGTTACAGCTGGGGAGATGGAAACTAATGTTTAGAATAAAAACTAAGAATTTGTCAAAGTCCTGGTCCCTGTTTAGGGGAAAAGGAGCCAGAGCAGACAGGGTGAATATATGATCACACATTAAGATACTGACATCCTGATTTATATTGGGTCAAGTCTGACCCTCATGTAAATTCTAAGTAAGTAATTTCAGAGTTTGTAGCAGATGGTTCCTCATAAAAGCTAAGCTTTTATGTTTGAGGTACGTGACTGCCCTCCACCTTCACACCTCTTATCTTTATATATGTTTCCTTTCTTCCCACTTAAATTAATCTTCCCATTTCACTCAGATCACAAGACATAGTTTATAAAATAAAACTTGAAACATACCATGAATTGGGAGATTGAGTGGGGCCCATTTCAGCCACAATTACTTTCTTCTTCCTTTGACGTGCTGTTCAACTGCACTCATTAGCCAAAATCACTTTTGCAGACAATAGTTTGGAAGGAGGAGGCTAGGTATATATGCAGCAGAACTAGGCCTATGTACAAATATTCTTAAAGGAGTGGGAATCAATGACCACAGAGTGGCTCCATGGAGCTGACTTACTCCTATTAAGGGCAAATTCACTTGCATAGTTATTTCCAGCTGTCACACTGGAAATTTACCATGAGTTGGCCTCTCCGATGGATTTGATCAGCAGATTTAAGTTAAAAACAAAAACAAAAAAGCTCAAACTTTGACTACATTTATTGCTTATTTGTATTGATACATCTCAGGTCCTCTGGTGGGGGGACTAATATCTACTGAGATTGTGCTTCCCTCAATTCAATATTTATTGACTCTTTCTATATGCCAGGCACTGCCTTGTATAAGCAAGAATACATTGAAATCTCTATTTAATAATCCCTGTTAAGTTGAATTCAATAATTTAAAAGTTATGGTGCTTGGAAATTGATTATGCTATGATTTAGCCCCCAAAACAGGATATAAAATGGTATGTTATATATGATGTGAGCTCAGCCCAGTGAATTTATATACATGCATAAGCAAAAAAGAAAAGCCCATTTTCTGGTATAAGCTTAAATTTGCCTCTTTCTTTATGCCTGCTTATGGAAATTAAATATCTCCCATAGCAGTCATTCCTGAACTAGATTCCAAATGGGAAATTTGAGGGATTGGAAAACTTAGTAGATCATCTTTTTTGCTTCAGAGTTATTTATTTTTAAGGCAAGCCTAAGCTTGGTACAAAACTAATACCCACACACAGATATTGTCAAGGTGCATCAATGCACGGGGTGTGTTTGTGTCTTTCCCCTAATACTTTAAGGTTTGATGTATCTGCATAAAATTCACAGGAGATAAAGGGGAGGGAGACGCTTAGTGAGTGAGCTCACTGGTCTACTTTTCTATAAAAACTCCGTCCTGGACAGTTAGAGATCTCTTCTATTCAGCGCAAAGTTCTAGAGACTTCTTTATTCACCTTGAACACCTTGTATTTGTCCAAAAAGAACTCAGTCTCACTACTTTGCGATTTGCTTGATCTTTTCTTTCAACCCTATCTCAGGAAGGGTAGCCTAAACATTTGAAATACAGTAATAACTCCAAGTCATTTCTATTTCTTATTCCACCCTATCTCTTCATCCCACCATATTGTTTCTTCAAAGGATCCCCAAGATGCCATCCCCAGAGGAACCATGCTGGCCATTTTCATCACCACTGTCGCTTACATAGGAGTTGCTATTTGTGTAGGTGAGTTGTATGTCTCTGGTGTCCGAATGCCAGAATTACAAGGAGTCTGGTTGTTCTTATGTCCAGTGGGCTTTCAGTGGGTAGAAAGGTTTTTTTTAAAAACAACATTTTTAATTCCCTTTCTGGGTGCTTTAGGGGTTTGAATGCAATTAAGCTGTATTACAGGTGTCTCTGGGTCAGGGCTAGGGTAGAGTTAATCAGATTGTTATTCCACATGAACACAAAGAGAATCCCATTTAGTTACTCTAGGTGATAACCCCACTGCCAAAGGAGCCACCATTCCCAGCATCCACCTCCCTTGCCATGGGAGGCAGGTGAGAAACAGAGCGAGAGAAAAGAAGCCAGAAATAAAACAAGACAAAAACAAAAATAAAAGCCTTAGGAATGTATGAAAGACATAGAATTGATGGCTGTATCTTCTCCTTGCACTACTGTCCCTGATATGGAAATGTCACTATCACAAGTTGGCAGGAAATCAGAACAAGACCCAGCTGCCAGCAGTGTGGGTGGTCAGCCCCCACATTGCTCAGTAAGTGGAAAATATGTGGATGCACCTGCTGTTCCCAAGCTGACTTTCATTCCACCTGCTGTCTGCAGCCACACCTCCTCCTGGCTGGGGGTCACCTCATGCTTATGCCACAGTAGGAGAGGAAGAAATGTGGAACATCCAGAGAAGAAAACTCTTGTCTGTGCACACTCGGGAATATGGGTCCCCACTGCAGAAGCCCAAATGACCATTTTACCGAAGGGCACATCCCAACTGTACTCTGCTAAAGGAAATTGGGGAAGTGCATTTATATTACTTTGGCTTCTGGAGAAAAAAGCAAAACCGTTAACTTCTCTCACTGTCTCTTATTTGAGGAAATTGGATAATGTTAGGTGTATTGCTGTGGCATTTCCAAGTTGAGTTACATGTAAAGAGATTTTATTCCAATACTTTAGAAAATTGACACATTTTAAAATGACATTGAAACCACCTTAAGTTAAATTTCCCAAATGATTTCCTATCTCACACAATGTAAAAATGAAGGAACGAGTAAAGTTATAGACCTGATTTGAGAGATTCTTCCAGTTTTTGCCTGGAAGAAAATTCCTTTTCTATACTTTTCCCTGGAGAGGAGGATAGTCCTGGGGTCCTTGGCCTGTCATTAGTGCAAGTTATGGCTCATAGCTCGGCTTCACGGAAATTTAGGGAGTTGTATTGCACAGAAGCCAAAATATATGCTTCCAAAAAGTCAGCTCAACATAAATGAACAATGCAAAAAGGTAAAATCGGGAACAGATGGTTTTGCTTGGTAACCAACATTCATAATTTCAACTGTTTAAGCAGAGGCTAGGAGGCCACCCCTCAGGGCTATGTAAACAGGATTCCGGTACTGATTATTTTACTCTTCCAACTCGAAGATCCTATTGTTTTTAAATCTTTTGCAGATTCACAGGATATGAGTTCTATGGATAAAATTGAGGGTTCCCGTTAGTACCTGTCACTGGGACCTCTCTTAAAGTTATTAGCAAGAATGAAAATTCATACCGTCTAGAGTTTGAAAAGCAAAATGAACAGTTTTATTGGTTGGAATTTAGTTTGTAAAATATTTATCCTTCAGGTATTTCAGAAAAGTTTCTACATATTTTCCACATATAATCATATATTTCAATAATCCTATCAAATACATAGCAGCAGAGATTATAGTTATAAAATTCATAAGGAAAGTCTGTTAAAAAATATATATCAAGGATCTTTAAAAAGTTCATAACTCCATTTCTAGGAATCTATCCTAGAGAAATATTTTGAAATAGAGAAGAAAAAATTTGTGCACAAAGATATTCATCATAGAATGTTTATAATGGAAAATAACAGAAATATCAAAATAGACAAAAGTAATGGAATAAACTGATATTTGGTCGAATATTATTTGACCATTAATATTACCAAGGAAATCTCAATATTTTATCCCCAAACATTTTCTTTATTATTTAAACCTTTAAAATTCTATATAAAGTTGAATTATAACTCTTTAAAAAAATTATGCAAGGACTACGATCAGTTGAAAACAAGGGCTCAGGTCTCTTAATTACTAGAATTCAATAATGCCATCCCTTAGTTCTCTTGCAGATGAGGAAATAAATCCTTCTACCTGAAAAACACCTAGTCAGTAGCACCATGCCAGAAATATGAATTGAATATTATGTGCAAAGCACTGCCATGTGCATTTCAGAAAGTAAAGGTTGGAGAGTTCCAACCCCCAGGTGTCTTACAAAGGTAGGTGAGAGCTTGGACCTAAACCCCCCAAGGCAGTAGAAGTGGCAGAGCAGACTGTCAGAGACAGGGGGTGTTCTGGAGCCTCTGAGGATGGGAAACTTCAGGTACCATGTCCCTAGGATGACAAGAGAGGATGGCGGTGGACCTGCTCAGACTCAAAGTAAACTATGTTTTCAGAAGAAAATCCCATGGGAGCAGAACGCTTATAAAGAAATGATGAGCCACGGTTGTTTCCTCAGGGGCCTGTGTGGTCCGAGACGCCACCGGAAGCATGAATGATACCATCATTTCTGGGATGAACTGCAATGGTTCAGCAGCCTGTGGGTTGGGCTACGACTTCTCAAGATGTCGACATGAACCATGTCAGTATGGGCTGATGAACAATTTCCAGGTTTGAACAGAAAAAAAAAAGTTTCTTTCTTTTTGCTATTTTTGTAGGTAAGTTGTATGTCTCTGGTGTCAGGATGCCAGGTTTAAAGGTTTCATTTGTAGAATGTCATGTGTAGTATAATGTAACTTCTGACTTTGCAACTGATTAATTATTGGTCCATTTGAATTCAGCAAGGAACAATTTGTGCGTGAGGGAAGGGAGCTCCATAGACATTATGTGGCGGCAAATCCTGTGGTTACATTTACTGTGGTGGGGAGAGAGCAGGCAGTTGTATGAATTGCATCACCAGGGAAAGATTACCACCCGACATATTGCATCTTCCAATCAATGGTGCCAGATTTCATGGTGGGGAGAAGGAGAGACTTAGATAGTTGGTATTTGGAATGCACTTTGTGCATGGATCTCAGTTTTGGGAAAGTCCCTGACATGATCCTGGGGTGCCTGGAAAATAAGGCCAAGAGGGACATTGTGAGTGGCAGAAGGCGGATGGAACAAGAGAAGTTGGGAAAACTGTGGAACTTGAAACCTCAGTTTGTCTGAATGATTGGTGAGCGGAGGGAGAGGCAAATTTGTCATGAAGTCTTCATTCATCTATTTTAACAACCAAAAAAGAGAAATTAACTCAGCCGAAGTCATTATTCCAAAATATGACTTAAATTGATAGAATCTCATCGTGTCTCAGATCTAAAATTATATTTGATGAGCACAGAGAAAGCAAAGGTTTGAAAAGCCTCTACGTGCAGGAAGAACAAGAAAGGCAAAAGCTTTTCAAAAGACTGGGAAACAGCTGAGCCCTCCCCAAACCTTATTAAAATACCACTTTCTGCTCCACAGAATTTCCCATTGTCAAAGAAACATATGCTCCCAAAGAAGGGGGGAAATGTTGTCAAAATCCTTGAAACCATTTCCTTCTTCATTTTTTTCCAGTATCTTCTGGAGGTATTGTGGTGAGCATTTCCTATTTTCATCAACAACGACAACAAAACGGCCATTTCCATTCTGAAAAAACAAATATGAAGAACTTGAGAATGAAGCAGGGCAAGGGGGTTGGAATCTGATTAGAAGCAATTGGCTTATAAAGGAGATTCCAAATCATGGAGAGTAGAAGGGGAAGCATTTGCATAAGATTTTGGCTTTGTTTGTTTGTTTGTTTTGTCTGTGGGACGAGTCTCCTTACTTGAACATCTTTTCCCAAGGTCATGAGCATGGTGTCAGGATTCGGCCCCCTCATCACTGCTGGCATCTTTTCTGCAACACTCTCGTCAGCCCTGGCCTCCCTTGTCAGCGCACCCAAAGTGTTCCAGGTGACATAAGCCAAGAGCACGTGCTTCTCCCTACGTCCCTTTCCGCTGAACGTGGATCAAGCTGAAATATTCGTTCTCACCAGCCATCATTTTCCAAAACAGTTTAATGTTTGCATCTGGCTCAAATGCTGTCTGCCACATAGTCAAGATCGATTCAAATAATATAAAGAATGATAAACTGCTGTGTTAACTTGTGCCTGTATTGTCTATCACTTCATCTTTCTCCAAATCTTCTTGTTCGAATCACCTAGGGAAAATGACCGTGCATGGATATAAATGACGAATTTCTCCTCCGCTTTTCCATTAGGCTCTGTGCAAGGACAACATCTACAAAGCCCTGCAGTTCTTTGCAAAGGGATATGGGAAGAACAATGAACCCCTGAGAGGATACTTTCTCACTTTCGTTATAGCCATCGCGTTCATTCTTATTGGTTCGTGATTTTCTTGTGCTTACTGAAAGCTAAAGAATTCTTCTGATTACTGGTAGGGTTTTCCTTTCAGCTTGAGGAATTACCTGTTTTCTGTTTAATATCCCAATTGGGCATATTGGAGTCTGTCTAAGAAGGAAATGAGGAATCCTTGTGTGCAGACAGCCTTTGAGGACTTGAGGTAGACTTTGGACTTGAATCTCTTCTTTGAATCCGAATGTTGGAAATCCATCCAACCAAATGCAGCCCAAATCCTTCCTCCAAGCTGCCTGATATCCTCTAATTCTAGAGTCTTCCCCAGCTGCCACCTGTCTCCACATCTCCTGGCCTGGCAGCTACCAGGAGAATTAAAGTGTCGTTTACAAAATGTTGGTCCATTGACCACCTATATCAGAATCAGAATCACCTGGGGGTTTGTTAATGTGTTGATTTTTCAGACCCAACCCCAGAGAGGATAAGGGCATAAGGAATCTGCATGTATACAAGCTCCTCAAGAGATCTGTACACTGAGGTTTGAGAACCCCTTGCCCAGACTATCATCTCGGCTCCCTCGCCTCTCCCTCTAAGCAATATAGAAACAGCTGCATAATCTTGGAGAGGCACATTCATCAACTTTAGCCTGCACATTCCTCATTCCTCCCTAAGGTGCCACCTTTGCTGGTGAGCATATCAGATGAAAAGAAGCAAAACGCAAGGCCATGGTAACTCTGTCTAGAAGGGCAGAGCCTTCCTCAGCGAAGTGGCACCAAACAATAAAGACTCCTCATCATCACATAAACTCAGGAAGTGACTGTAATTCCTGAATCCTCATGAGATTTCTACAAGGTTGAAGAGGGGGAAGATATGACTATGTTTGTTAGATTTTTTAAAAATTAAACAAAAAGCGATTATGTACAGAAATGTTTCCATTACATAACTTAAAGACCTCGGGCGCCTGGGGGGCTCAGTTGGTTAAGCAACTGCCTTCAGCTCAGGTCATGATCCTGGAGTCCCGGGATCGAGTCCCACATCGGGCTCCCTGCTCAGCGGGGAGTCTGCTTCTCCCTCTGACCTTTCTCTCTCTCAAATAAATAAATAAAATCTTAAAAAAAAAAAAGACCTCAAATCATTCCCCTATAATGCATTTATGTGATCAAATAGCCAAAGTGTTAAAAAAAATTGTATAAATTAAATATCATCCTTAAAAATGACTCACAACAACGTACATGATCTTCATGGCAACTATTTTTGCCTACTTCCCTGCTGGCATCTATGATCTAGAATCACACCCAGCTGCTGCTTGCATTTGCATCACTGAGGTTGATAAATGAGAATGTTACTAAATTATTTCTTATACAGCAAACCATTCAGCTAGGATTAAATTATACCAGATATTTAGCTACTGGGGTGAATATTCTTTTTGGCAAACCTTGAAAGGTAGAATGCTCTCGAAATGTTAAGAAAAGGGCAAAGGACTAGCAAGAGTTCTGCGAGTCAGGGAGAGCAAGTTAGACATGGAAATTTCCAATTAAGCATTTCGGGTGCCCTGGTATTTAACTGATCTGTTGTCCTGTAGAGCTTTTTGCTTACATCCACAGCAGAGAAAGATTGCAGGATGTGGTACCTCTGCAAGAGCGACAGGGGAGTTTATCATCGGCCCAGTCGCCAAACCCTCCACCCACGCCCATTTGAATGTTTGCTAGGTAGAGGTCTTGTCTATCGTCTATTTTCTCTCATTGGGAGGTTTTCTTGCTCCTTGCTTTATGGAAACCCTGGCTGAGAATATATTTTTAAATGAATGCAGTCCCAAAGAAAAATCACTAACTTCTTAAACTTTGACAGCTGCTAGCTATGTTTTCAATTTCCAAATGAAGCCAAGCTTCCAGGCTCTGACAGCTGTTCAGCCCCTGGTCTCATCACTCACACGGACATGCTCACTTGTGCTTCTTTTACAGCGGAACTGAACACCATTGCCCCCATCATCTCCAACTTCTTCCTGGCCTCATACGCCCTTATTAATTTCTCCTGCTTCCATGCCTCGTATGCCAAATCTCCGGGTAAGTTGACTCTTCAAAACTAAAAGAAGCCTAAGCAGACAGTTAGTTTGTCTCAATAAGATGAAGTAAGTCAGTGAAAAGTGCTCAATCTGTGTTTATATGTTTCCTTATATCCTAGTGGGCAGCATAATCCACTTTATTTTGGTGAGTTGGAGGGGGGGTGACTTCTGAAATAGAAAAAGAGTCATTTGAGCAATGGCCTTTTTGACCAACCGTAAAGTCAATTTTCTCCTGTGGCAATAAATTATTCATTGCAAGAGAAACCACATTTATTTCAGCAGTAGAAAAACACCACTATTTATTTCCAGGGTGAAAGTGACCACAGAAGTGGAATAAATGTATATATTTGAAACTTCCTTACTATCAATTTGTTTCCTGCCCATGGTGCAGAAGAGAAGGATGAGTAGTTCCCATAATTACCTGCTGAGTGCAGTCAATGCAGATTCGTGCTGAAGCCGGTGGCATCCCTGCCCTCCGCAGACTGTGGGTGAAAGAGGTGCAGAATTTCACACCAAATAACCTTCCCTATCTCGCCACCTCTCACCTCTGGCTCGCTTTCATCAGCTATTAGAATTCCTTCTGCCTTTCCACCAGAATAGATACTCGTCACTATTGACCTTCAGAAAGTTCTTCACCACAAGGGCCTTTATCAGGGATATGAACACATTTCTGTGTGGTCTGTGTGGTCTCAAGCCTCTTTCGGGAAACCTGCTGTCCGTGAGACACAATACGGATGGAAGGGGAGCTTTCGTCCACCCAAGGCCACAAGGCTCCAGAAGATAACTGAGGAATTTTTATTTCTGTCGTGTTGTCTTCTTTTAAGCAAAGAACAGAAAGTTCTAGTCAGTGAACACAAGTCATAGAAATGTGTGCCTCCATGCCATGTTATGTTCATCTTTGAAAAAACAAGGTGAAGGGCGCCTGAGTGGCTCAGTCGGTTGAGGATCTGCCTTCGGCTCAGGTCATGATCTCAGGGTCCTGGGATCGAGCCCGAGGCCGGACTCCCTGCTTACTGGGGAGTCGGCTTCTCCCTCTCCCTCTGCCTGCTGCTCTGCCTACTTGTGCTCTCTATCTCTCAATCAAATAAATAAATAAAATCTTTAAAAAAAAAGGTGAAATAATAGAGTAGGTAAGGGAAAGAGTGGGAAGGAAGAAGAGAAACGGGAAGAGAGAAAAAGAGAGAGGGGGGAAAAATAGAAGACCGAATAGAGACAGGTGGATACACAAAGCTACGAAATGACACACACACAGTCAGACTCAGAAAAATAAGGGCATTTTCAGGGATGTCCTCAAAGTGCTATTTCCATCTTGTGGCCATTTCAGAAATTCCCCTTAAAGACTTGGAAAGCTCTGTTGTATTTTGGCAACTCCAAATTTAAAATGTACCTCACCCATCGTCCAAATGCCCTTCAAATCATAGCTTCCCCAGCTAGACGCTGCTGTCTCCCAGCTTCTGCATGGCAGGAAACTAATAGAACAGGGGACACTCCCATGCATATATGAACCGTGAGAAATATTTTCACTGTAAAATGCAAAATCTTATTAATGCATTGGGTTTAAAAAGCCTTTGGCGAAAAACGTCTCCCTCTTTTTCCATAGATTATTATTTCTGAGAGGGCAAGTACTGTCCTCTTAAGGTAAAGACAGAGCTTGCAGGCAGTTAGTGGCTTGACTTTTGATGATGCTCTGCCTTCTCCATGGGAACAATAAGCCCATTGTCTTAACTGCCTCTTTTCTTGGGCCACCAAGCAGTGTCTCCCCCTCCTTCCCACTAGACCCCACTCTTTTCATCTCTCCTGCCTCCTTTCAGCTCCTGATGGTATAGCTAGCAGAAGCTTAAGGTGTCATAGCCGGGGAAGACAATTGGGGCGTGCAGGACATAGGAAAAGGCCATAAGTGACACGTTTTCTGTATTTCACAGCATTCTTATTTGATGTACCTTCCTAAGCCAGGGACCCGAGATCACAGAAAACTAATAACAGAATTGGGAGCTTGATCCAAAAGTTCTGATTTTTATTCTAGGAAAAACTACTGCCTGCATGCTAATCATATGCGGTGGTATAGAGCAATAGTGTGAAAGTTTTTCTTATGCACCGAGATATTTTTTTCTTTCAGGATGGAGACCTGCATATGGAATTTACAACATGTGGGTATCTCTTTTTGGAGCTATTTTGTGCTGTGCAGTTATGTTTGTCATCAACTGGTGGGCAGCTGTTATCACCTATGTCATTGAGTTCTTCCTCTACATCTACGTGACTTATAAGAAGCCCGGTAAGATGAGAGGAGGGGTTTTTGAAAGCAACCATTCATTCAACAAATGTTTATTGAGCAGCCCCTATGTACTTAGGTGTGCCATGTGAATGGTGGATATTAATAATACAATACAGCATAATAATAGTTAACCATGTTGAGCACCTGTTATTTACCATGCCTTCATTGAATCCTCACAATAATGCTATACATTAGGTATTATTAGACCCATTTTACAGATGAAGAAACTGGAGTTCAAAGAGTTGACTGCTTGCCGAGGTAACAGGATGTGATGGAGTTGACATTTTAAGTAGAATGTATGATACCAAACCCCATACACTTTCCATTATATCACCTTCTAAAAATCCTGATAAATAAGATATAATCCCTGTCCTTAAGGAGTTCACTGACTCACACACAAGCAACTAACCATAATGCAATATAGTAAGTACCATGCAATGGCATGAGAAAATTACTGAGAAGAGGAGAGAGAGTGATTAGCTCTGACTAGAGTTGTCCAGGAAGACTCTTCTGGTTCATGGCTTGTATTCCCAGAGCCAACACTCAGTAGGTACTTAATAAATATTTGTTGAATGAACAAATAAGCTACTTAAAAAAAAGACAAGAGACTAGGGGTTGTTTAATCAGATAGAGCCCGGGAAGGTTATTCTGGGCCGAAGGAGAAGCATGAGTGAAGTTAGAAGGCATGCAAAGACGTGGCATATGTAGGAAGCTTCAAGGCCTGTAACATGGATGGAGTTTTTGTGTGCTAAGGAGAAGGGGCATGAGGTAAGCCTGGAAGAGTAGGTTGGGGCCAGATAAGTAAGAAACATAAATGTCATGCTAAGGAATATGTGAACAACAAGAGGCTGCCATAGATCACTCAATTATATCTGAACTTCGGATGTTAACTTTAGAATCAACGAGAAGGAGGGACTGAAGCTGTGGTACAGGGAAGCCCAGTCTCGGGAGTCTGACAGGCCCAAGCCACCCTCACATGTCCCTTACCTGTACTCCACAGGAAAGGAGAGAAGAAAGGAGAAAGTAACTAACTTGGAGGGATTTTTTCCCTGTTTTTCTTCATTCCTTTATGCATCAGGCATAATTTATGTATGGTAAAATTCACCTTTTAGATGTACAGTCTATAGGTTTTGACAAACTTCAACAGTCTTGTAACCACCATCACAATCAAGACAGAGGACATTCCCATCATCATTAAAAGGTCCCTTTACACTCCCATGTAGTTGATCTCTTCACCTCAACTTAGCCCCTAGTAACCACTGTTCTGATTTCTGTCACTATACCTTTGCCTTTTCAGAATATTACGTGGAATCGTGTAGTATGTAGCCGTTGTGTGTGCTTCCTTTCACCTAATATGATGTTTTTAGATTCATCCATGTTGTTGTATGTGTAAGTGGTTTGTTCGTTTATGTTGAGTAGTATTTCATTGTATGAATATATCTCAAATTATTAAAAAATGTATTTGCCAGCTAATGGACATCTGGGTTGTTTCCAGCTTGGGATGATTATATATGAAGCCGTTATAAACATGCAGACAGAGGACTATAATGTGGACCTCTGTTTTCATTTCTCTAGGAGTGGGATATCTAAGAGTGGAATTTCTGACTATAAAATAAGAGTATGTATCTTCATAAGAAACTGCCAAACTGTTTTCCACAGAAGCAGTGTCATCTTTTATTCCCACCAGCAATGAACAAAAGTCCTCATTGCTCCACATCCTTGTCAGCACTTAGTATAGTCCGTTGATTAAGAAAAAGAAAGTTCTAATAGATGTATAGTACTATCATTTTGCCTTGCCTTGCATTTTCCTAATGACTAACGATGAACACCTTATTTGCCATCCATATATCCTCTTCAGTCAAATGTCTGTTTAAATCTTGTGCCCATTTTTTTGAGTTGTTTGTTTTCTTATAGCAGTTGTGAGGGTTCTTTATGTATTCTAGATGCAAATCCTTTAGCTGTATGTGTTTTGCAAATATTTTCTACAGGACTATTACTTGCCTTTTCATTTTCCTTACAGTTTGTTTTGAAGAGCAGATATTCTTAATTTCTATAAAGTCTAATTTATCATTTTTTTGCTTTTATGATTTGGTTTTTTGCTTCTAATCTATCTTTCCCTAACCCAAGGTCACAAATTTCTTCTAAAAGTTTAAAGCTTTAGATTTTAAATTTATGTCCATTATCCAATTTGAGTTAATTTTTATATATGGTGTGAGGAATGGTAAAAGGTTCATTTTTTTTATTTGCAGATATCCAATTGACTAGTAGGATTTTTATTACAATAAGATAATCTAAGGTATGCTAAATACCTGGTGCTAATTACCAAGTCAACCCTTAGGCAATATTAATCCTTTTTATCTCCAGGTAATTATTCCCCACCATTTCCCTGACTCTTGTAAGCAAGACTAGGGAGATTACTCTATCTGCCATCTGGAGTAAATCTGTTCATTCCCACCAGAGACTTCCTGATGGGAGGTTCCATCTAATATTTAATTTATTTATATTTTTTTCAAAAAAGGGTAGGGAAAAAAGAGGGGTAGGAGATGGTAGTACTTAATTCCTTCATTACGAAGATTAGGTCCTAAAAGATCAAATTAAAATGTTTGCTGAACCCTACCCTCTTCATGGATACCCAAAAAAGTAAGAATTCCTGAGCTATTCAGTTTTACTATTCAAAATATAAAGATGGCTGCACATGATCCATGTCTACAGAAATGACTCTTTTCAATTCAAGAATTTGTGAAGACCCTTTGAATTTATTTAGAGGCTGACCATTTTTCCAAGTCTATCCACTCACAATGTGGTTATCACATAGCCTCTCCCACCAAGCAAAATTTCTGGGGCTGCAGCTTTAAAGTCTGATCCTTACCTGGAAAGAGCCATCCACTTCTAAGAATTCATAAAGTGTTCGTAGAAGGACACAGTGCTCTTTCTAGGAAATACTACATTGTATTTTCTCTAATTTGGGCACTCCTCACCGATGACTTAGCCAAGGAAAATCATAGAAGGCAATGGTTTATAAAAATTATTCACAGTATACAGAGGGAAGGTCAAAGCTTTTGATGCCAAATTCTTCTGTTGTCCACAGATGTGAACTGGGGCTCCTCCACACAGGCTCTTTCCTACGTCAGTGCATTAGACAACGCCCTGGAATTAACTACCGTGGAAGACCACGTGAAAAATTTCAGGTAAAGTTGGCTTCTCAGGCATCCTGGTGTCACTCCACATTAGAAGTGGCTTTCCTTTAGGGGAGACAGATGCACTCAAGTAGTGATATGCTTTATGGGTACATTCTAAGACTAGTGAGTCCTACAAACCTGCCTCATTTTCCCAACAACATCTCTGTGAATGAGTGTTCTTCTCTTCCACTCTGAGCTATGCCCACTCCCAGCTATAAACCGTCATAATGCTGGGTGTCACCTTCCAAGCACAGAGATAGAGCGGTGATCTCAGGCTGTGATTCCAGAGAGATGCCCCCCAAACACCTTAATCCTTGGTGCTGTCTCCATTCAGCTTAAGGTGCTGTGGCTTACTGAATCTCTTAGGAAAAGCAACATTTTAAACTCTTCATTAGTTATATCTTATTTTGAATGGAACCCCCAAAAACAAGCTTTGCAAGGAGGATGAAGGAAAGCAGCATGAAGATACCAGCTGGAGAGTGACAGGTGGTTTGGGGATTTAGGACAGGGTAGTGCCTGGAGAGAAAAAGACAGGGGGAACCCAAGACTGCCTTTTCCTCACTTCACATTTTTGCCATCACTAATGAACTAAGAATACAAAGATGGCAAGATGAACCAGTAGGATGATTCAAGAATTCTGATGAGAAACCCAAAAAATATTCAGGGGAGAGCTTGTCCCAGTTTGCCCAACCCTCCATTCCTGCCATTTCCCCTGGGGCTGTCCTGGCTCATAGGCTTCTGGCAATGGCCAGTTCTTATATATTCTTTTCTCCATTTCCAGGCCCCAGTGCATTGTCTTAACAGGGGGACCTATGACAAGACCCGCTCTCTTGGACATTACTCATGCCTTTACCAAGAACAGTGGCCTTTGCATCTGCTGTGAAGTCTTTGTGGTAAGAGACACTTCATCCCAGGAAGGTGCTTCCCTCCCTGCTCACCTTGTGTTATTTTAGGCAAGCCAGGCGGGTACAGGCAGGGATAGGAAAATGGCAAGGCAGTTTGGACAAGAGCCCTTTTCCTTGATTCATAGAGCAAGGACTGGCAAGGGCCGTGATCCTGAATTTAGACGAGTCGCGAAAAAGTGTTTCAGATTTCATAGGAGACCAACTAAAAGTGATAAATATTTCCAAATGATGGCCTTTGAGACAAGGAAAAGGGAATAGGCTCAGAAATAAAATGAAGACATTTGAGGTGGTAACTGTCCACAGAAATATAAAAGGATGGAATGAGCCAGAGAGTGCTATTATATAGATTAACTGATGAGGAGAAAACCAGACATAATATCCTGAAATGACAGCACATAGAATTTAGATTAAATATTTGGATAAAATTGATGACACTACAGATATCTAAGGAATTAAACCAAGTTTCCCATGCCTTGGATAAACATTCAGAGATGAATGAGTTCCTTTTGTTCGGGAAGTATGTGGTAGACTAACAATAACTTACTGGTGGTTTTCCCAGGAGGCATTCAAAGTAGATGCTAAAAATTTAACCATAGTTATTGACCAATCGCCAATCTCTAAAGTGAGGAGAAAGCATTAAAATTATAAGAAAAAAGTAAGCCTAGGTCCTCCAAACCAGTCTATCTCTGCTGTGTTCCTGTAACAATCTCACTCTATCTCTCTCTCTGTGTCTCTGTCTGTCTCTCTCATACACACGCACATGCCACTCAAAATCCTTAGCTACTTCAATGAATTATTTTTAGTACATACCTGTTCCTCAAAGCATTTTCCTACAATTTTTCTTGTTTGACCTATATTACAGCCTAGTGAGGCAGAGAGGAAAAAGAATCTCTGTTTTCATCTTACTGGATGGAAAAGTAAGATTTAAGAAAATGAAATTCTTGCACAGGGTCACGTGACAAGAAAGTGACAGAACTGGGGTGTCAGTCCAGGCCACCCAACTGTGCTCTGTGTTACCTCATGAGAAGAAAATCTTAGCAGACTTGTGTCCCTGGGAGTGCCAATAGAATTGGGTGCCACTACCAAAACTTCCAACACCTGCCAGGGAGTAGGGCTGACAGGAAGCCATGTAATTCTGGAGCCAGTGGGCTGTGCCATGATGTGGGGATAAATTTACCACACATCATCCTGACCAGGACTTAAGCATCTTTTTATTTTTATTTTTTTATTTTTTTAAAGATTTTATTTATTTATTTGAGAGAGAGAGAGAATGAGAGACAGAGAGCACGAGAGGGAAGAGGGTCAGAGGGAGAGGCAGACTCCCTGCTGAGCGGGGAGCCCGATACGGGACTCGATCCCGGCACTCCAGGATCATGACCCGAGCCGAAGGCAGTCGCTCAACCAACTGAGCCACCCAGGCGCCCTAAGCATCTTTTTATACTTGGCAATACTCTAAATGCTATATGAAGCAATTGGTCATATTCTCCTTCCTCTCGATGCTTATATGCTAGTAACTGAGACAATATAACTCAACACAATTATCTGGAAGGGAGTGGAAGGAACCCTACTGACTACGTAAGATTGACAGGATAAGTAATGACCCACTGTGACTCCAGAGGATTTTTAAAAATCTCTCATATTACCAACCTCGGTGCCCTGGATTACTGAATTTCATTTTGGCCAATATAATACAGGGCTGGTTTTGATGGGATAAGCAGTTTGGGGTGTTTTTCTTCTCCAGCAATTTAGAGAAAACTTAGTTTAGCAGGCAATAAAATATCTTTAGGACAGGAGAAATGAACTGAGAGTGTGAAGAGTCATATATTGGCAAGGGAGAAAAGGTCTTTTCATAGAGACAGGAGCTATTGCTTTTAATTAACCCTTTGCTGCTTTCAGGCTAATAAAAGGGCGGGATTGTGCGATATCATATGAAGTAGGCTCCTTTGTCTGTGCCTACGATGGCCCTGTTGTTCGACGTGTATATTGGACCATGTTATATATCACTGTGCTGGTCTCTCTGAGTAAGGCCCGTGAGTCATGCTCCCAGGTTCTGAGCTTCTCTTGAGGACAGAAAATAGTTACTACATCAGTTAATGACTTTCCAGTTAGTTACTGTCTGTGAGCCCCTGGGGCTGCAGATGCCATCAGCATTTTTCACCTCTAGGCTCAGTCATCAATCATCTCTGCAAAGAAACAGATGGAAGGGGGCGTGGGGGGAGTCAGCCGCATACCCTTAGAAAACTTTTTCCAAAAGCACAGTTGTTGGTATTTGGGCCAACCTTATTGGAAGGTTAAATAGGAGTGATGATCTTGAGAGGTAACAATGCAGTTCTTAACTCTGGGTAGTTGGCTTCTGAGACACAAGGTCAATTCTGAATCACTATTTGCCACCTATTGGCTGAATCACTGTTTGCCGCCTGTTAGAGTCCCTTAGGTGCAAAATTTAATCTTTCTGGGCCTCAATTTTCTCTCTTTCTTTATAAAATGGGAATCCTCATAATAATAGCAGCTATGTTGTAGAGCTGTTGTGAGAATTCTATCAGGTGAGTTTTCCAGGGCTCGGCGCAGCACCTGTCAAATAGTAAATGCTCAACTAATTGTACTTGTTACTGTTGGAACTGCTATTTTCATCACCATTATTTTTGGTATACCATAGTTGCCATTTTCACTCCAAAAATATATCCCTTTCAACAAAAACCAGAAACATGATTTCTTAGGGAAACCAGATCCAGGCACGGATTTTGCACTTTTTTAAGTATCCAAAATGATCACGATAGAACAGTGAGCTACATATTCCCTCTGACTAATCATAGGACGGCAGGCTCTGTGCTCCGTCCCTCTCATGGCCTTCAGTTATTTCAGTGCTAACTTGAAATGTGGTTACACTACAAGGAAGGAGCAAGACCCAGAGCTCACTAGAATTTCATTGCTAGTGGGTAGATGGAAAGCAGGTGGCTACAGCTGCCATTTTCTACAGCAAAGGCTTTTTAATTTTATTTTATTATGTTATGTTAGTAACCATTCATTACATCATAGTTTTTGATGTAGTGTTCCATGATTCATTGTTTGCGTATAACACCCAGTGCTCCACGCAGAACGTGCCCTCTTTAATGCCCATCACCAGGCTAACCCGTCCCCCCAAGCCCCTCCCCTCTAGAACCCTCAGTTTGTTTTTCAGAGTCCATCGTCTCTCATGGTTTGTCTCCCCCTCCGATTTCCCCCCCTTCATTTTTCCCTTCCTACTATCTTCTTTTTTTAGCAAAGGCATTTTTAAAAGGCATTTTTAAAAGATTAGACATCATGGCCCTCAGAGCTGCTGAAATTGAAATGGAAAGAGTTATTCTTTTTGCTGGACCCCAAGCCCCCACTGTGTCCTTCCAGCTCTCCAACTAACTCTTAAACTCGCCCATCAGCACCTCTTCCTCCTTCTTGCTTCTTTCCTATCCAGCTTGGATATTTCAGAAGTATCCTTCATCATTCAGATACGGGCATCTTTTTTTAAGGAATCCAGTAGGTAACTTACAATATTGTCTACTCTTCTCCTTTGAATTACCACATGAAAATCATCAACATACTTATATCCCAAGAGGCTTTATATTGAACAAAAGTAATTTTCTTCTTCTTCTGTGCTTCATTCCTATCATTGCAGAAAGATCAGAGGGAGTAGAACTCCACATTTCTAGTATCATCTCATATTGTCAAGCATAGTTTAGTGTGGGGGTTCAGCAACAGGCAAGTATTAAGTCAGGGCTTGCAAACTCCACCGATTCTACCCTGTGTACCATGACCTAAAAACACAGTGTTTCTTTGTCAGTCAGTTTCCTCGCTTATTTATAGGAGTTAGAAAGACAATAAAACCCATCATTGCAATAACTTAGTTTGGGCTCATGATGCCTTTTTTCTCTGGGTACACTATGTTTGGTTCTAAAAATTGTAAGGTGCCAGGTCACATTTCTCTTCCTCATGTGGGAAGGCATCCTGCGGGCATCAACAGAACCTCACTCCTATACTTCTCAGGTTTTTGTTTTTTGTTTTGTTTTGTTTTTGTTTTTGTTTTTATTTATTTGACAGAGAGAGACACGGCGAGAGAGGGAACACAAGCAGGGGGAGGGGGAGAGGGAGAAGCAGGCTTCCCGCCAAGCAGGGAGCCCGATGCGGGGCTCGATCCCAGGACCCCGGGATCATGACCCGAGCGGAAGGCAGACGTTTAACGCTTAACAACTGAGCTACCCAGGCACCCCTATACTTCTCAGTTTTAGTTTAAAGGCAGGGTATTTTTCATTAAAACAAATCAAAGATAAATATACCTTAAAGATGGAAACTTGATCCAATTGATCTGGGATTTAGAATGCAAATCAGATAAAGCCTTTATTGTCCCCCAAATGCAACACTTACCTCTTTTCTAAATGTTGTTTGTCTTAAAATTGCAAAAGGCTTTCAAGTGTGCAGTGGCATCTTTTATTAAGTACATTTTGTTTTCCTGGTGGCTGAAAAATAAAGTTTTTTTTTTAGATTGCTTCTATTTTTTTATTTTGAAACATTAAGAAGAATATTAGGTCGAATCATGAAATTTACATTTTTGTGGGTCAAAACTGTGGAACACTGGCAATTTCGTATGATTAAACTATATAAAATTAAATGACACCCATATTCTACTTACTGTAATTAATGACTGTTAGCATTTTTGACACAGATGTCCCTACTCACTTTTAAAATGGAATACACCAACATCGCTCAAGTCCCTGTTATAACCACTTTGCTCATGGCTCTCTCCCTCTCCAAAGGCAATTTTATCTGAGGTTTATTGCTGTTCTGCTACTCATTTCACCTACGTGTACCAAGATGTAGATCTATTTTGACTAATGTTTCCTACTCTTTCACACCCTTTAAACCTTGATTGTCCTGTTCTTCCCTCTCACGGTAAAGGAGATGACAGATAGTTTTTGACCAGCTTCCTCATGTAGATCCCCTTTTAACAAAATTTCACCCTTACTGTGTCCCTTTCTCTTTTTTCTTAAAATTTATAAAATATTATAAAATATCTATATTTATAAAATATCTTAATAAAACCTAAAGCTCTATTTGAATTCAAAGATGCTCTTCAGAAAACTCAGGGAACGCAACCAACTCCTGTACTGTTCAAGCACAGACAAACCAGGGGAAACTGAAATTCTCATTTTTTTCTTTTATCTTCAACCTCTTCTCAATCTCAATGTTCACAACCACCAAGGTGATACATTTTTATAGATGCATCTACTCTTCTTTAGCCATCGAGTCTCTGTCACGATGTGCATAAGATAGTGACATGGCCCAGCACAGGAAAAATGAAGTGACCTATGTATGGGCACTAGGCACAGGGTGAGATGAAATACAGACCAAATCAGAAAGGAAAAATTCTCTTTCCCACCGTTCCAACCAGAGTGACAATGAAAGCAAAGACAAAGCAGTAAGACTCTCAGTGTCTTGAAAAATGAAAACTGGAAAGCAATGGAAAGCGATGAAAAACATCGCTTTTGGCCCAAATTTCTCTATTTGATCGTAATGATATTGGAACTCTTTTGCAAATTCTTTTCATAACATTTCATTTATTTGAAGTAGCATCACATCAACTACTTCTCCAGACTAAATAATTAGAGTTTCTTTACCCTTTTCTCAATCAATGTCAAAGTTACAATATATACAAGATTTTTAGAGCTTCTTTGTTTAAATCGTGAATTAATTTATGCATTCATATTTTGGATCCTTACTGAGCTAATCTCTATAATATTTCAGTTGAGTGATAAAATCCGTTTTGGTGACTATGATATTATTTGAATGTTGAATAATTATATTCCAGTATGTCTTCCCTCTTTGTTAGTTTGTTTTTCCCCACTACATTTGTATTGCAGCCTTGCCTCACATTAATAAGTGCGCTACAAAAATATAATCGCTTTTAGCAAAGAGAGTTTCTGCCTGAAATATTTTTATGACTTCTCAATATGGCAAATTTGGGCATTAAAGTAAATCTTTCGGTCACAATTAATGCTTAATCTGGATTTTTGTAGCAATAATAGACATACATTAGACTGTATTTATTTAAATAAATGCCACTTTCCCCAGGGGTTCATAGTCATTGTGGTACAACTCAATATACTGATGGCCCAATACCTTTTCTAGCTGTTGGTTATTCTTCTGTCTCAGGGTTACCATTGAACTTCTCTGGATAAAATATTATTTATAAAACCTTGCAGGATAGAGAATTTATCCCTGTTTTCAGAAAAATCTATCCAAGCTCAGAAATAATCAGTCACTTCCGAAATGGCCAAGCTTAGATTTGAAACCAGGTCTGCAGCCCACAAAGCCTGGCATCTTTCTCATACATCTCAAGCCCTTTCTCTCCCATCTAAGACCCTCTAAGACTGTGACTGTAAGCATGGCCTGAGGACCAGCAGCATCCATGCCACCTGGGGGTTTGTTAGAAATGCAGAATCTTAAGCCTCACTCCAGACCTACAAACTGCATTTCATCAAGATCCCAGGTGACAAATCTAAGACAATTCAACAACATACCTAATCTCTCCATGAGTTGAAAGAATTTTCCTAGGAAAATAGTAGATTTGTACCTTATCAGCCATATTACAGATCATGAGAAACACTTTTTGGGTTTGATTTGAAACTTGCAAAGAAAAGATCTAGCCTGGACCTTTAGGGAAGAAGGAAAAGAATCAAAAGTAGTTAAAATGAGTTTCCAGAACTCAAGTCTTAAAATTATAAGCCATTTCATCTACCACCGTAACACCTGCCTCCTTCTCTCTTAAGCTCTCCTGTTCTTCCTATGCCGTAGGTGTGTGAACCTCTGTTCCCACCAAATTCATTGAGTGAGAGGGAAATCTTTTTTTTTTTTATTTTATTATGTTATGTTAGTCACCATACAATACATCATTAATTTTTGATGTGGTGATCCACGATCCATTGTTTTCGTATAACACGCAGTGCTCCATGCAGTACGTGCCCTCCTTAATACCCATCACCGGGCTAGCCCATCCCCCCTAAAACCCTGTTTGTTTCTCAGAGTCCACAGTTTCTCATGGTTCATCTCTCCCTCCGATGTCTCCCCTTCATTGTTCCCTTCCTTCTCCTAATGTCCTCCATGCTATTCCTTATGTACCACAAATAAGTGAAACCATATGATAACGGACTTTCTCTGCTTGGCTTATTTCACTGAGCATCATCTCCTCCAGTCCCATCCACGTTGATGTAAAAGTTGGGTGTTCATCCTTTCTGATGGCCAAGTCATATTCCATTGTATATATGGACCACATCTTCTTTATCCATTCGTCTATTGAAGGGCATCTCAGCTCTTTCCACAGTTTGGCTATTGCGGACATTGCTGCTACGAACATTGGGGTGCATATGGCCCTGCTTTTCACTACATCTGTGTCTTTGGGGTAAATAGCCAGGAGTGCAATTGCTGGGTCATAGGGTAGCTCTATTTTTAATTATTTGAGGCACCTCCACACTGTTTTCCAAAGTGGCTGTACCAACTTGCATTCCCACCAACAGTGTAAGAGGGTTCCCCTTTCTCCACAAGCTCTCCAACATTTGTTGATTCTTTCCCTGTCTGTTTTCGCCATTCTATCTGGTGTAAGGTGGTATCTCAATGTGGTTTTGATTTGAATTTCCCTGATGGCTAATGATGATGAACTTTTTTCATGTGTCTGTTAGCCATTTGTATGTCTTCTTCAGAGAAGTGTCTTTTCATATCTTCTGCCCACTTTTTGACTTGATTATTTGTTTTTTGGGTGTTGAGTTTGAGAAGTTCTTTATAGATCTTGGATACCAGCCCTTTATCTGTAGTGTCATTTGCAAATATCCTCTCCCATTCTGTGGGTTGCCTCTTTGTTTTGTTGACTGTTTCCTTTGCTGTGCAGAAGCTTTTTATCTTGATGAAGTGCCAAAAGTTCATTTTTGCTTTTGTTTCACTAGCTTTTGGAGATGTATCTTGAAAGAAGTTGCTGTGGGCGATGTCAAAGAGGTTACTGCCTATGTTCGAGTGAGAGGGAAATCTTAATTTATTTGGACGGGAGTAAGTCAACATTACACAGGGAAAAGTGATGCAAGGGTGTTTTTACCACACACCACACACAAAAAGCAATGAATGGGCCTAATAGAATTGTCAAGATATGGTAGTTCATGGCAGGACTTACAACCCACCATGTTCTGGCTCCCAAGAGCTCGGTCCATTTCTTCAAATTGGGCTCTAGCTGAGATTTCTGTAGTATTCCTAAAAATGCCTCTTGCTGTTGAGTCAAAGGCTGGTTGTGTATTCATCCTGAATTTCTTCAGTCACATTTTCAGTATTTTCTTCCTGTGCCATGATGCCCTTGGCTCTTTCTTCCTTTGGCATGAAGCAGTTAATGGAGCAGGTGTTAATGCACCTGGACATTCTGGGCCGCAAGGGAATGACGGGAGCAACATAGGCTCACTCCAAGAGGTTGCATCTGCGTGAACCCTGTCTAGTGAGGTGTTTTCCCCTTTCTCATTTCTTAACTCGTTGGGGGCATTGTTGGCTATTTTTGTCCTTTAGAAAACAAGAGCAGCGCGATGGGTAAAAGCAGGGCTTCTAACCAATATTTCATCGTGTCATCCAGGGACCTCGCAAGCTGTGTGTTAAAGAGATGAACAGTGGCATGGCAAAAAAGCAGGCCTGGCTTATAAAGAACAAAATCAAGGCTTTTTATGCTGCAGTGGCGGCAGATTGTTTCAGAGATGGTGTCCGAAGTCTCCTTCAGGTAAGGCTGGCGCCGAAAGGGTAAGTATGGAGGCAAAAGACAATTAGCACCCCCCTGTTGATGAAGCTCCTCTAGTGAACGGCTCCAGTTAGGCAGCCACAGCCTCAGAGACCAATGCGGATGGTTAAGGAACTCATTTCGAATTCCTGAGGAGAGGCAAAGCTAAAACAAAAGCAGAGAGGGTCTATTACAATGAACTACGGATGATAGGCTGGAAATGGAAAATGAGGTTGCCTTTGGCCACCAGCATACATTCTGTCCCCACACTTATTGAAATGCAAATCTGTTCTGATGGTTGACGACATTCAGGATCCTATTAAAACTTCAAACTATTTTTGCATCTCATACTGCATATATCAATGCTCAAGTCAGGCATTCTGCTCCTTTTTCCTTCTGCAAATGGCGTGAGGGCAAGCTGCTAGAGTCGACTAAATAAAGGCATGGGGATCGGGGCGTAAGATTTCCGTATCCCCCTAAATTATTTCCAGAATGTTGAATAAAATGTAATAATCTCTGTGGCTCCATGCTAAAACCTACAGTTCTTTTCTTCCTTATTCTTTCCTTTTTCCTCCTTCCATAATAAGTACATAGAATCTTTCTGATCATAACTTAGAATGGTGAAGTATCCTTAAAACAATCCAAGGAGACCCTCAGAAACTGTAGGGCTTGGCTTTCTAATCATTTTGGCTTTAATGTGGTTGGAAAGCCCTGATTCTACATATAACCAAGTTACGTATTCACTTTCAGAGTTACCATTTCCAGGAGTGTCAAAATTCAGGACGGCATCCAGTAACTCTGATGCTTATGCAGGCTGGAAAGAAAAAATTGATTAAACTGTAATATTTTGGAGATTAAGAGTACTTGGTGCATTCCTGTCTTTAATATTCCTAAAGAACTCTTGCAAAGTATCTGCACACACAGAGAAACCATTTCTGAAAGACCTATTACCCCCAGTGAGCCTCTTTTCATCTGTTATGAATTTGCCAAGCCATGTCAATAGATGTCATTTTAAGAGGCTGATTTTTTTTTTTTTTTGTAGCAAGTTACTTTTCAGTAGCTCTTCTGTGAAATATGTTGAGAAAGTTACACATTTCAGGTAAAATTATCACAACAGATTGGTAAATAAAATTTTCAGTGGGGAATGGGTGGACTGACATGGAATAAGCAGGGAGAGAAAAGACGGGTCTGGAAAACAATGGTTGCATGAATCTGGAAGAAAATGTAAAAATAATTTAACAATGCAGCAAGCTTGTCCACTTGAATTTGCTCAAAGAAACGTGGAGTACAGAGGGACCAGGACAAAAGGGCAGGACGGGGCAGTATTGAAGGGAAACACTGGGGTCGTTACACCATTTTGGATAAAGCCTCCTTTGCATCTAAGAATTAATGGTACGAATGGCCACATCCCCAAACTACAGTCACAGAAAAGTTGAGCTCCATCCTGCTGAGCACCAAATGAGAGCTCAAGGAGTTGTCCTGCTACCTGTACAATTCTAGGAGAAACACAACAAACGTGGGGGCAGGAACCCTCCCATCGATACCCATCTCCTCCTGCTTGCTACTGCCCCCTTCAACATGTCCCACTCTGGTCACTGGTTTCCGCTCTTCCTGTGACCCAGAGTGTCCTTTCACTCCCTCCCACTGCTCTCCTTTCTATGCGCTTGTCAACCTCTCACCAACCTGTAAGATCTGGAACAGATGTCACCTCTCCCTTGAAGCCAGCCATGAACCCACAGCTGGAACTCAAGGTTTCTTCCTTTATGCTTCCGTATGAGTTCCTACTGCATGTGCACTTGAATTATAATTATCTCTGTATATCTTGCCTCCGTCACGTTATCCTAAGCTCTTTAGGGCCAAAGAATATGCCTCACTGCTCTTCCACAGCACCTACCATAACACTTTGCAATTAATAGGTGCTCGATGATATTGCTGAGTGAAGTTTAATTAACTGGAAGCCATATCCCGCCATCTAATGGGGGGGAGTGAAACCTGAAGTGGAAGATGACTATTCACGATACTGTCCTGCAAGAGGATTAGGTCCTGGAGACACAGCTCACTTACTCTTCACGAAATAATACAAGGCGAACTTTCAGTGATCCTTGCATCTAAGCATTTTCCAAACATGGATTTTATTGCTAATGACATTATGGATAAAACAGGTGGAAATGAGCTTTGAACCACTAAGTTACAACGTGCACGCCAACGGTTAAGCCGACCCTCACTTGATTTTAAATTATTGAACCATTTTAATGAGTGTGTCAGAAGAAATGCAAATGACTGCTAATTTAGAAAAGCTACATTTCTGTCATCTAAAATCCATTTATGGCTGAGATGATTTAGAACTAATCTTTCTATTTTATGCTTGGGTACGGGCATGAAGGACATGCATTAAATGTAATCTCATCTTCAGAAATCTTCAGGACATTACTCCAGTGCTCTTGTGGACATTATTTTTCATTTGCAGTGGTAGCTTCCTGGTATGGAAAGGATTGCCCATGTGTTTATCTCCTCTGTTTAGGCCTCGGGCTTAGGAAGAATGAAACCAAACACTCTGGTGATTGGATATAAAAAAAACTGGAGGAAAGCTCCCTTGACAGAGATTGAGAACTATGTGGGAATCATACAGTAAGTGATGGCTTTTGAGACATGTTCTTGTTTACAAAGCACTAACCAGGGCAGTACAGAACAGGTTGTTGTACCAGATTAAATTGCCTGATAAGAAGACATTCCCCTGGTACCCTGAATTCTCTACCAAAGTGAAAAACCACTGCCGCTAGTAGAACTGCGTGGGATCGTAGTGTCTGAGGAGGCAGGGTGGAGGGAACTCGATGCCAAAGAAAAAGGTAAATAGTAAGGGTTACAATCTTGAAACCTATTCACAAGATGAAGAGCAAAGGACAGCTAGGTGAGGAAGGAAATGATCTTTCAGAACACTGGGGAACTTGGGTCGGCTGGTGTGCCCAGTTCAGTCACTGTCTTCTGAGCCTTGGATCAGGAATTTATTACCCCAGAGCCTTGGCTCCCCCTTTGCTGCCAGGAGGCTGTCATGTATCAGTGCCTTTGTGTTGGTTTAAGAACAAAAAGTGAGTTTTAAATGGCACGTGACATCTCATATCTAAATATTGGGGAAGTCTTGGGACAAGGGCGATAATCATAGTCCCGAAAAGACTAGCGGTTCACAGGCTTGTGTCATCGACATGAATTATCCCGCTTAATCCTCCCAAAAAGCCTTTGTAGTACTACTACTTTTCCCGTTTTATAAGTAGAGAGACAGACGTTAAAAATTAAGTAATCTGCCGAAAATGACAGTGTTGTGACGGAGCCGGGATTGCAGCCCAGGCCCATCAAATTGCAAGTTTAGACTCATGACCACAATGCTCTCCTGCCTTCAGAAGTACACGTAAAGCCAAAGTATTATCTGGCTCGTTTCCTTCTTCTAAATAAGATAAAACAAATTCTTCCCATATGGAAATTCTCAGAGTGTCTTCAGTGACCATTCTCCAAAACTGAGCCTTTCTTCCAGGTTTAAAAATATTGAACCAGATTTGTCTCACCGGGGGCAATGTTAGCTATGCTAACAGCCATCTTTTGTCAATAGCTCTGAAAATGGAAGAGTTCCTGTCCGGAGTCTGGCTTTGCTCTGATTCCATACCTCAGGGCAGAGACTGTGCCCTGTGAAGGCTGGCTGCACTTTAAAAATCTGTAATACACAGGAAAGAAAGCCTCACCCCTTCAAAACAAGCACATACATACACAGTGCTTCTTATACCAGGCTGGGTTGCTGGCCCCTGCTAGAGTGAGCATCATATTTATCATTATCTGGGGGAGACTTGGGGAATATTACAAAAGCATTCTAGTATTAGTTTATTGAAAAGAAGTATAAGAAGATCATTTTCATCTTCTGAAATTTATATGCATTACTGACCAAACAGAAATTCACTCGATAATCTTCCTAGTTCTCCCAAATTGTGTTTCCCAAAGGTATGAAGCCTGGATGCCACCCGCTGCCATGTGGCCCCTGCTGGTGCCCTGAGTTCAGTAGGTTACAGCCAAAGCAGGTGATCAGGGTCTGAATTTTACCAAGCTCAGCAACCAGCATTTTGATATATTTAGAATCACAGTCCTTTGCTGACCATTCTTGGAAACAGATCAGATCTGCTCTCTGTAATCCAGATTCTTCAGTAAAATCTCATCTTTACCGGGGGGGGGTGGGGTGGATGGGGGGAGGCAGGGAATAAAGGGGTGGAGAGGAAAGAAATTTCATCTTCCTCTTCTGAAGAAAAGGGTTGGAGCATGAACAGGAAGACATATATAAACCTTCAGTCATTAAGAATCCATTAGTTGATACAAAATTATCTGGGGTCATCTTCCAGCCTCCCCACCATCCCAAACATTCTAGGAATTCAAAGGGACCAAAATAGTCAAACTCAGTAATATTAGGCCAAGGAGACTTCTGGCTTTTATACCAAATTGATAATTGGTCTTTTTGGTAGTAAAGTTCAATGTTAAGGTGGCTCAAATTTGTACTAGTATAAAGCTCAGCTCAGCTTGTGATAACTTTACTACCATAGCAGTGAGGTCAATATAGAAGGAAGACAATCGTATATCCATATTGTATTATATTTTCTCTTTCTGGTCTTTTTTTATGACTTAAAGCATGGTATTATTGTTAACAGAAGGATATTATTACAATAGTATAGTATTTTATCATTTTTCTTTGAATAAAAGTTTTTAAATGTTTAGAATATGCTTACGTATGGTTTAACTTTAATTAGAATATGTATTAATTTTCATTGGCTGCTGTAAAAAAAAATTACCTCAAACTTAGTGGTTTAAAACTCTACAAATTTCATAGCCTACCGACGTGTGGGCTAAAACTCTGACACTAGTTCATTGGGCTAAAATCGAGGTGTGGGCTAGGCTGTATCCTCTTTTGGAAGCTTTAGGAGAGAATCCCTAGCCTTGCCTTTTCTAAGTTCTAGAGGCAGCCCACTGCTCAGGGCCCTCTTCCTCCATCTTCAAAGCTCCTGAAGGGTCAAATCCTTCTCATTAGGTCTCATACTCTGACCGCCTCTCCTGCTTCCCAAATGTTCTTTAAGGAGCCTGGTGATGACACTGGGCCCTGACAGATAACCTAGATTAATCTCCTCATCTCAAGGCCCCTAACTTAATCGTATCTGCAAAGTTCCTTTTACCATGTAAGGTGACATATTGCCAGGTTCCAGGAATAAGAATGTGGAGGTCCTTGGCGGGGGGTTGAAATTATTCTGCCTAACACAAGATCCAGATATTTTTTGTGGGACACGTTGTCTTTTTTTTATAATCAAGGACAATTAGAAACAAGATTTCTCGAGAATGTATTTTCTGGCAAATTTTGCTAGAATGGGTCTATGTTGCTTGGTGATAATCACTTATGGTTTGAATTTTGAATGGGTGTTCACATTACACTGAATTTGTTTATATCACTATTTGAAAATTCAGGTTCACTTTGGCTATCAGAAACTTGTTTGCCTATGGTTAAGACAATCACAAACTGCATTATTTCTGGTAGAGGGTGACGTTCAGTGGGAAGGGTGCTGGGCTTTAGATCCATTCGAGACTGAACAAAGGAACCTCCGAGGAGAAAATTTTAAATAAATTCAAACTACTAATTGGTGTGCCCCATATTTAGGAGCAGAGAAAAAAATATTCTACAAGAACAGACATAAAAGAAAGAGAGCCTTTCTTTTCCTTCTAGAGAATCTAATTCTGTTGGGTTGAGGGTAGAGAAGGCAACAGCCAACTTTAATGGCACAGGATTGTCATGAAAAAGCATTGCTTCAAATGGTCTGCCCAGAGTCAATGGTGAACGTTCTTTGGAGGAACCAGAGATATTTTTAACCAGGAACTTGATGTCAGAAATGCTGTAGGATTCTTTCTCAGTAAGTAGGGATTTGGCTCATAATTACAAAGGGTCTTTGTAGCCTGGAAACTCTCTGTTCTAAATATGCGCTTACATTAGAAAGGAAACAATTATTTTAAAAGTATGTGACAAGCTCTTAATCAAAATTCTAGGTGACAGTATTATTTGGAAAAAAATTGGTTCCAGAGTAAATGAATTAGTTACCTTTATCCAGAATACATTTTTAAAAGGAAGAAAAGGAGAAAAACAAACTTAACAGAGGCAGCATCAGCTCTTGGCTATATTCTAAAGTGAATTTTCATAGTTTAGTTACATTAAAATCTTAGCATTGAGAATCTTAGGATCTCTTATTATCAGTACAAATCCTCAGGATTAAAGGAGTCTTTTAAATCACTAACTACTTTGCTTCCACTTTCAGTGATGCGTTTGACTTTGAGATTGGTGTGGTCATAGTCAGAATCAGCCAAGGGTTTGACATCTCTCAGGTTCTTCAAGTGCAAGGTATGTACTTTCTCTATTCAACCAACAAATATTTATTGAGCACCTACTCCGTGCCCTGGCCTTTTTCTAGGTACTGGGGATAGAGCAGTGTACAACACAGACAAAACCCCCGATGATGGAGCTTACTTATTCTTGTGCTGACCTGAAGTGTGTCCACTTTCCCAGTGCTTTCCCCGTTGCTAACACGAAAGGCCTTTATCCTGCTAAACAGAAATATAGAATAACCCAGGGCAGTCATAAATTATTCTTCTTATCACCAAGCCACAAAGCCAGCATCATTGAAAATAAACACCTTTGGTAAAATAACTGCCAAATTAATTTCTGCAAGATGTTCGAGAAAATAAAGATTAATTCGTTCCTCGAAAAACCACGTATTTTGTTTTTTAAGAGTCTATGATCTGGTTTACAACTAACATGGAAATGAGCCTGAATGTATCATGCTGTGAATCACTAATCTAAGTCCAAGGCAGAAACACTAATTCGGATTAGTGATTCTGCTTTTCCCTATAGAGGATTTAGTACACTTGTTTAATCTTAAGAGTTTAAGCATACCCTCTTCTGTATGAAATAAAGGACACATCTAAAGAGTCATTGAACTGTTAGGACAGGGTGCTCATTCATGACTTATTTCTTTAGATGAACTTCAAAATAGAGTCCACTGATGACTGACACTAAAACATAGGGCTATTTTTTTAGGTGTCTCTTGTGCACCAGGTATGGTGTAAATGACAGTGCTGGGTAGACCAAGGCTAATAAGAGTCTGTAGCCTCAAGAGACTCACAGCCTAGAAATGGGAATGGGTATATCATTCATGTGCTAATAAGCATATCAATAGAGTATTACGGGAAAGAGAGAAGGGCATCTTACTCCAAGAAGTCTTTCTGGAGGAAATTACCCTAGAGATGATTAGAGTTAACTAGGCACTGTTGGGTGAGAGAGAAATGAGAGAGTTCGGGGAACAACATTCCTGGCAAAGAGGAGAGCATCAGCAAAGATGTGAATACATGAGATTATGGAAGAATGGGGGTACATGGGCTACCCAAAGCACATTCATGTTCCTGAAGTAGAAAGTATGAACAGACAATAGTGAAATTTGAGGCTGCTGATATAAGATCCTAATTTTAAAAGCCTCATTTGCCGCATTAAAAAGTGTGGGCATATTCTGCGGACAATGAGGAACCACTGGAGAGTTTTAAGTGAGGGGACATGGCCTCAAAGGGGACTAGAATGGACACAGGGAGACAAACCAAAAATCAAAAGGATTTTTATGTTAATCAAAGGCAGAGAAGGCGATGGCCTGAACCAGAGCCAGGGGCGGAGAGGAAAGGACAGGAGTGTTGGGAGGCCCAGAGAGCAACATCTGGGGGTTGGTTGGATGTGTGGGAGATGGGAAAGGGGGGAATGAAAAAGACCCCTTGGCTGACTACACGAACGGTGGTGCTGCCTGTGGAAATGGGGACACAGAGGAAGAATGGGTTTAAATAATCTCTTATGGGAAATTCTACCAGAAATATCCACTGGGCAGTTAGACAGTCCTGGTCTTAAAGAAGTGTGAGCTGGAGAGGCAGATTTGGGAGATGTTATGGGCCCAGCTCTTTTCTATGAATTCTATGGTGAAGTCCTAACCTCAGAATGTGACTGTATTTGGAGACAAGGTCTTTTAAGAAGTAAGTCAGATAAAATAAGATCACCAGGGTGGGACTTAATCCAATATGGCTGGTGTCATTATGAAAAGAGATTAAGACACAGACAAGCACAGAGGAAAGGGAGAAGACAACCAACTACAATCCAAGGAAGGAGGGTTCAGAATGAAACCACCCTGCCAACACCTTGATCTTGGACGTCTAGCCTCCAGCACTGCGAGAGAATCAATGTCTATTGTTTAAGCACCCAGTCTTTGGTATGTGTTATGGCAAGCCGAGTGGACTGATACAGAAGACATCATAGAGCAGGTAAAAATTGAAACAACGACACTGGAAAAAATAATCCAAAGAGTGCATCGAGTCAAGAGCCCTAAGACACAGGGTAAGAGCCCCAAAGAAGGAACAGGAAGGAGTGTTCAGAAAGGTAAAGGAACCAGGAGTCTGTGGTGTCATGGAAGCCGTGGGAGCATAAGAACCATCACTATTGTCAAATACAGCAGGAAATACCAGTAAGATTGTGAATGAAATGCAACTGACAAGGCACAGATAATCTTAGTGAGATGAGTATCTGTAGAGTGGTGCCGACAGGATCCAGATTGCAGTGGACTGAACACAAAATATGAGATGATGAAGCAGAGGATATGGGTGTGACCCACCACTTTGAGAAGTTTGGATGCAATGCGAGGGATGAGACTGAGATTTACCATAGGAAGACCCATCAACTTTAGAATGGAAGAGAGGCGGATGTTTTCAGACTGAGGAAATGGGCCCAAGAGAATACAGGAGATTGAAGGCGGAGGTGGAAAAAAAAAAAAAAAAAAGAGGACGACCCGTGGAGTAAGATTCTGGAGGAACAGGATGAATCAAGAGAAGGGCGTGGATGAAAGCAGGGGCTTGAAACAGGGAAAGAAAGAAAGAAAAAAAAAAAAAGCTTCATCTTCTAACATTAGAGCAAAAGAGGTAAGGATCGGTTATGAGGTATGCAGATTTGAAAGAGTGGAGTGGTAGATTGAGGAAGATTGTGCACAGTGCTCTCAGTTCTCTTTGAAGATGGAGCAGTCTTTCTAGTTGTCCAGGTTTTGTCTAGCGGCATCTGGTCTCCAGGTAGAGGAGGCTCAGGATTTTGCTGGATCTGTTCAGCAGAAAGGAAAAGCCTGCAAGAGATCCGAGAGTGCCGGTGCCTGACGGTCCAGATTCCATTTGGCCATGTAGGACTGTCTCCGTCATAGCAGAAGGCAGTGTGAGAGGGTGAGGTGAACTTCCTGATGCAGCCGTCCCGGGGTGTTGTAAGGGAGGAGAAAGAAGACGAAATTGGAGATCAAGCGTTTATATAGTCTAGAGGACCACTGTCTGATATGAATACTCTATGATTACGTAGGAAGAGCTTTAAAAAATAAAAGTGAGAGTCTATCCTGTGCAAAACTGTAGCAAAGAGGATAGTCTGGTGCCTTCAGGCTTCTTTTTTTATGCCCCTATTCTCTTTTATGGACATTTTACATCTCCAGATGGATATATTAATTCCCATTCAGTGTTCATGATTAATTGATAGTTCTTTCTAGTAGAACTTAATACATTAGCAGCAACAACAGCTAACATTTTTTTAAAAGTAGGCTCCAACCCCAACGTGGGGTTGAACTCACAACGCCAGGATCAAGAGTCGCATGCTCTGTGCCCAGCCAGGTGCCCTTAACCATTTTTGAGCATTTAGTATGTGCCCCGTATATGCTTCATGTTCACATATAACACTTGTCATCCCAACTACCCGACGGAGAAAGCACTATCTTTGTCCCCATTTTACAGCTAATAAATTGAGGTTTACCCAAGACTCACAAGGCTAGCAATTGGTAGAAGTAAGATTCAAACCTATGTCTGTTTGAAACTGCTCTTCTCATCTTTTAAGAAGGAGATCTACGGAGAACAATGACTAAGATAAGGAGAGCCAAAGTGAAATCTGAGATATGGGAATGGAACAATTCCTTTGGCTTGGGGGGTGGGGGTAGGTGTGCCTGTCTATGATAAGTTAGACATGACGTTAGGGACAATTACAAAAATCTAATATTAAGAGATCTGTTGCTAACTTTCTACATTTTGCTTTACCTTTGTTGCCTTTTGTGCTATAATGTTTTTCCATCTAAAAAATGAGAATACAAAATACAGTTTGTATTTAGATTACACATTTGCTTTGTACGTTATGGTGATCTCTTCAAGCCAAAAGATGTGATGTAGCTGGAAAATATTGCTCCCACCTTTACTGCTCCATCCGCCAAAATGGCACCATCAATTTAGTCCTGTAAGGCGAAACAGCAAGCAAATTTTGTAGTATTTCTGAAAGAATCCTGGCAGTGAACTGCATCCCCTTTTAATTTCCCAAGGGATGTATCCAATTTATATCAACTTTGATGTTTGAAATCTTTCTGCTTCTTAGTCAAGAAAGGAAAAATACAGTTGGATGCTAATAAAATAATTATAAGTACCAATTATCTAGGGTAAACAAAAAACAGTGTTATACAAATACATGAAGAACATGCAGAAAAACAACAGCATAATGATAGAAATTAACTTTATGCCACATTTCCATGCATTGTTTTGAAGTTTATGTAATTTATGACACCACCCTCATATTAGATTTTGAATTGGAAGAAATAAGCTTGTGTTTCATTATATTATACTGTAATATAGGGCTTAATAAGAGCCTGATAAATCTTAAGTATTGCATTACACTATGTTAATGATTATCATCATAGCTTTTCCAACACAGGCATGACAGTGTCATCACAGATTATAATTTAAAGGAAATATTAACAATTCAGAGTGCCCATATACTGTAGTTAATAAAGCAGTGAATAGAAATCAGCTTTATAGGTAATTTACCAGCTAATGACAATTATTTCTATACTGTGCCACAGGCTTATGTGAGGAGAATAACTTTTGTATATAAATAAGATCAATGCTCATAACATTCTAACTTGTATACCGCAGCAACTCTTCCGATACCGATGGCTGATAGTTCTCTTAATAAATCAATTTATTGCCTGACAACACCAAAAATGTGATATTTCATATTGTTGGCCTCCCAGAGGTATTTAGCAAGTTTGCCAACTACAACAAAGAGTCCAAATTGTACTGGTAGGAATAAAGTGATGAGACGTGATCTGCAATATATTGCGGTCAAGTGTTTGGTGTAAGTACTACAAGATTTATGACCGTCTCAGAGCACAGGGATTCTGCTGTGTCTGATGGAGTGGCTTAGCAAAATAAAGACAGATGGCAGTGTAGTAAATAATTACTTGATTGGAAGACAACCACTGCAGGATGGTTTCCTGCCTTCAATTCGGCGAGACTTCACCTAGGGTAAGT